CCTGTGTCTCTGTGTCCCAGATCTCCCTCTGCCTTTCTCTTAAAAGTACTCTTGCCCTTGAATTTAGGGCCCACCATACGTCCAGGACGATCTCATCTTGGAGGGTGGAGTTAAATTGAGGTCCTTGGCTTACATCTTCAGAGACCCTTTTTCCAACTATGGTCACATTCACAGGTTCCACATTTGACATATGTTTTGGGCAGCAGCTACCATTCAAACCACCACAATATATATTTCCAAAAAGACAGAAAATATGCTGTTAAATGGAAATTTATATAGCCATTTAGATTCTTGTTTTCTTTTATATTGGAAAGACAACATTTCATTTAACTTATGTCCTAACAAGATTTAAGGATTTGGCCAATAGTTGCAGACTTTCCAAGAAGATTCTGGGAGATATTTTAGTCCTTGATAAGTAATTTAAGAGCAGTTGGAATCTTAAGGTAGGCTCCCCTGGCCACTTCATCGAATTATTTTCTGTAATGTTAATTATTGTTGTAATGTACTGTATATTTCTCATATATTTATAGTCCTGTTAGGTTTCTCTGTATCTCAAATAGTCTTTTTAAGAAATAGATAATATACTTCGTCATGGAATATGTCCAGTAGTAATTATTATAATGACTAAAAACAAAACTATTAAGAGAGAGTGAATTTTTTTCAACTTCTGTAAGCACTTAAACCGACAAGGTTGAATGGATCTCAGAGTCACTTGGAGTCACTTGATGAGCTTTTACAAGCTGGGTCCTGATGAATGGAGATTGTGATTTGGTGGCTCTGGCATGGGGGTTACCCCATGACTCTGATGCACACCGTGGTTGAAAAGGGCCATAGCGGAAGAGAGACTTCTGAAAAGTTTCTTTGGTAAGAGCTCAACGCTGGTTTCCCCTGTACAGCTCACTCTGACCTTCAGGAATTTATTTAACATTCCTAGACCTAATTTCCCCCATTTTTAAAGTTTAGGATTTGGGCCAGAGGATTGTAAGAGATCCCCTGGCTGTAGCAAATTTTGATTTCACAGTACAGGGATATTTTAGCATGTATGATAGGTTTCATTAAAAATTTGTTTCAACTCAAAAACATTAGAAAAAGTTGTTTAAGATATGCCACTGTAGTATTGCTAAGAAGTTTTAACTTTCTATATACATGGCCATATATTTCAGGCTTCAGAGAAATCATTTATTTGGAACTTTCCAGCTTAGGATTAGTTTTCAGACAATTGACAGTATTTCTTTTTGCTCTGAGCTTTAAAATATTTTAATGGTTAAATTTCTTTATGTACTTGTTAAAAATTAAAGATGACCACAATAAGGAAGTATATAAAGTAAAAAGTGAAGAGCCCTCTCCACCCTCTCCTTTTATCCCTCTCCTTTAGCCACCTGTTCCATTTCCCAGGAGTAACCACAGGTAATATTTCAGGGTTTAACCTGTCAGCACGTCTGGGCATAAAAGTGTGTGTGTACGTGTTACATACGTACATACATAAGTACATGCATGCCAATGTCTTGCCTTGCTGGTTTTTGTAGTGCTCCTTGTCCAAAAGTTGCTCCAGCAATGTAAGTTTTACAGGCTACTCAGTGGTGTATTACAGGTGTTTTACCGTAATTGGCCTAATGGTGCTGATTGTTAAAACGTACTGAATGTCCTGGAAGTGATCCCTGCCAAAGTCGGGATTGAAAGGTAGAAATCCAATTTCCAGATTATGGTAGCAACAGCTACTGAGGAAATTAGCCTGTCTATACTGAACTAAATCTTAACCGCACACTGCCTTTACCCCTAAACATGCCACAATTACAGTTCTTATGTTTAGCATAAAGTAGAATATGTGGAAGTGTTTCAGAGCAAGCAGTGGGGAAAATGGCTGAAAATAACATATGTAAAGTGCATGCCTACAGTCGAGGGTTCATCACAGTAGTGCTGTGATTAATAAAACATGATGAAGACGTGATAGAGCCCTGCAGACTCCTACAAAAGGAGCTGAGCTTGGTGGAGAGAACATTCCAATCCTAGAGTAATGTGAGAAAGTCATATGTATGCACTGAATAATTTTATTGTGTAATTATACATATTAAATATATAATTGTGAATATACACTTATAGTGATTTATGTGAATTAAGAACTTGGACTCTGCAATCAGACTGACTTCAGGTCCATTTTCAGCTTTGCCATTTATTTGCTCTGTGATTTTACCTCTCTAAGCCTCAGATACCTTTAAAATGAAGATAGTGTGTCTCCCTTATGGGGCTGCTGCGATTATCCAGTGAAAGTGAAATATAAAATCCTTAGCCTGGAGTGGGATCCTGGGAAGCACATAATTAGTCTTGGCTAAAATAGGAACTATGAGAGAATAGTTTAATACTCATCTCTACCTTTTACTAAGAGGGCTGTATCCTTAAATACATTGTATGCCTTTGAGGACAAGAGCCTTGTCTTGGGGTTTTATGTATGTGTCTCAGAGTAACGTATTTGGGGGAGACATTCTGAAAAGTAAGCAGAGTAACAATGCAGACAGAACAAGTGGTGGATGTCTGTGAGCTAGTAAACATGACAACATCATTATTGTTTATGAATATATATTTAGCTTGTCAGTTTTTAGCGCTTTGCAAGAGATTATCAGAAGCCAAAAATATATAAATTAGTAGAATAGTGATTCTTTAAAAGTCCTGGTTAACAGAGAGAATTGATTCTTAGCTGTTCAGATGAAGCTGTAAACTAACAATGATGAACCAGGTTTCTCAATCTCCAGCTGAGCCCAGGGAGGTGGCGACTCATATTGGAGAGGGGATGGAATCATTGCAAAGCAGTGTCAGCACAATCAAAATCTTGGAACATTTGCTTTTTTTGCTATGTAGGATTAAGACATGTGGATTTGGATTTGGATCAAAATTTGGATTTTGATAAATATATTTAGTATTGAATTATTGCTTCAAATTTTAGCCACAGGAAAAGACCTTAAATATTGTAGATGTCCTCATGGGCTTTGCAATATAGAAGACTTTTAAATGAGTGACTATAATGCTGTCGGGTGATGTTACATAGAGGAAATTTAGGGCTCAGAGAACCCGGCAGCAGGACCCAGATTAGCCCTGTCAGAGAAGGCCTTGGAAATGAGCTTATACTCATTTCAGTTTAAAATGAGAATTGAAGGAGTGAATAGGAGTAGTCAGGCTGAAATGGAAAAGAAAGGAACATTATAATTTATTGCATTTGAATGGAATTAATGTTCCATCTGAGTTATCAGAGAATTAATTTGAAGCATATAAAACATACAAATAATTTCAAATCTGGGAAGGAGATGTTCAGGTTACTTTTTGGCTCTATATTTGTAGTATGAATGTAGGCACACATTTTGTTAGCCTTCTGGTGTGCTGTAAGTAAATTGTAAAGTGGGGAATTGTGTTTGCTGAGGGATATTTGCACAGTACTATTGCTGTATGATTAAGTGTTATGCAGAGAATATTTTGCGAGCATGTCATGCTGTTGCTCCATGTGATATTACCATTGATAGCTACTTTGTGATGGATGCTTTAGAACAATTAGGTGAAACTAATGAATATGATTTATTGTCATGCTAGAACTATTTAAAACCACAGTCATGAGAGGGTGGCAAATTTTTGATAGAAAAAAAGGGATTAACTCAAAAGGTTTTTGACTAATGAAAATAAAGTTTGTGCCACATTTAAGCATCATTTTCACACCCCTAAGCATGTGAAGCATTTTCCTTAAGACCCTTGTAATCTGTTATATAAGTATGGTTTGGGAAAAATCCCAGTATCTAGCTGGTATATAGTCTTTCCTTTTTCTTGTTAGAAAGAGCACTGCTTCATTGAATTGTGGGGAAGATCGTGTTGATTTAGATCCTTAGTAACTGTTTAAGAAAAAAGAAACTTTGAATTTAAATGAAAACATGAACTTCTCATTTACAACTTTAGAGAAACATTTTGAATAGCCTTTAAAATGTTACTTATTTTATTAAATGATGGTAGAAGTAAAAAAAAAATTGGTAGTTCTGTGAAATTAAAGTTATAGGAGAAAAATAAATTAGAGTGATAAAGTCTATTCTCAAATAGAATAGGGAAAAAACCAGAATGCTGGGCAGGAGAAAGTTTGGCCCTGTTGGTTGTCTTCCTACACAGACTTTACCAAATCTTCAGGTCTAATCTATGGATCACCCAACATGCACTTGTCCATTGTCAACACAGAGTGGAGAGGATATTTTAGTGGTTAGGGGAAATTGTTTGTTTTACAAGAATATATTTTATCAGTTTTAATGTTCTTCTAGATTCCAATATATGTTGACTATTCAGCAGACAGTTATTAAAATTAAAGTTCTAGAGTGAAGTTGAAATTTACAGATATTCTAGTTTGATAAGAAAATTAAAGACATAAAGAATATGGAATTTCTTTGAGAATCACTTATTTTCTTCTTTTATCAGAAACTAAATGAGCAATATTACCTGGAAAATCACATTAACATTTTATAACAACTTTTTAGTTTTGAGGGTAGATGGTTTTAAGGTAATAAATTATAGTTAACATTATGTTTTTCAATGGTCATTTTAACATAGTTGTATAAGTTGTTTCTATAAATTCTCAGTTATCTCTGGATCAGTTAAAGGAGATATAGATGAGATTGAAATCCTCGTAACTTCATCTCACTTTTTAAAAATCTTTTCTGACAAAATATATATTGAAACTACTAACAAGTAGAAAATGTAACTGCTTTGAGTTTTTCTTCTTTCTTAATACTTGTTTATCTAATGTGTTTAAGAATCCTTAAAGTAGATAAATATGTTGTTGTTTGTAGATAAAATCATAGATTTGTAGATAGTTTGTAGATAAAATCATACCTAAAAATTAAATATCTCTAGTAATCATTTTTTTCCCTTGAGAAAAAGTTAGAGGTTTGCTCAGACTTTTACAAGAGTGTAGTTTTAATTACAGTATTTTGTAATTGACCTTATTTTGTGAGTAATAATGAACTGTTATCATTTTGCAGGTCTCATCACAACGACATCAAGGAAACTAGACCGAGAACAGCAAGATGAACACATATTAGAAGTAAGCATTTCTTTGTTTTTAATTATTTTTTAAAATATTTGTAATTATAAGTTATCATGGGAAAGAACAACCTTATTTCCATCAGCCAGTATTCATAGCTGTTAATATTTTGTTATATTATTTTCTGATCATTAATATTAATGAAAAGGAAAATAAAACTTCATGAATATAGTTTGTGTGTCCCTTATCCCTGCCCCTCCCCCATCCTTTCCCAGAATACATGACCACCGTCTTGAGCTCCGTTCCGGTCTGTGTACTTTATACTTGCACACATGTGGAACAAAAGTAACTGTAAAGCATTAAAAACTTCTGTATAAGAAAACAGCCCAACAAAATAAAATGGTGATAACTAGTATTAAAAGGTGTACTGTTTAACATGTACTTTCAAATGATTATTTGGCGGACTTTATTGATGAAGCTTACAAATGACAGCTTTTTAATGTAGCATATGGAGATTTTATTTTTAAGTATATGTTATTTTTAAGAGGTCTCTTTAAATGTTTAAATTAGAATCTTCACGGATCTCTTCCACTGCCTAAATAATTGTTAAGTTTTTGGAAGCTTAACATTTTGGTGAAGTTCACTTTACAGTTATAGTTATTTGAGAAGAGAGAGTGGGCATGGTCAGGAAAGAGCAGGAGTATTAGCTGTTTCTTTCTTAGCCTCTCTGAGTCCCTTTATAAAAAAGGGAAGATGGCTTCCTCACAGGGCTGTTGTCGGGCGGGGTGAGGGGAGGTGGCCTGTGTACTGTAGAATTTATGGAAGTGTTGATTACCATTAGGAAGGTATTCACTTTTTATGTGGGATATCTTTAAAACGTTTGTTGATGTGTCACCTTTAAACAAACAGGTTACGGTGACAGATAATGGTAATCCCCCCAAATCAACCATAGCAAGAGTAATTGTGAAAATCCTGGATGAAAATGACAACAAACCTCAGTTCCTGCAAAAGTTCTACAAAATCAGACTCCCAGAGCGGGAAAAACCAGACCGAGAAAGAAACTCCAAACGAGAGCCTCTCTATCGTGTCATAGCTACAGACAAAGATGAAGGTCCCAATGCAGAAATCTCCTACAGCATCGAAGATGGGAATGAGCATGGCAAATTTTTTATTGAACCAAAAACTGGAGTGGTTTCATCCAAAAAGTTTTCTGGAGCTGGAGAATATGACATTCTTTCAGTGAGTTAAGATCATATCCTTTGAATTTCTTATATACTTTAACAATAAACCTAGTCTTGGATTTCTTCTCTTAAAACTTTATTCCTAAAGTAAATGGTTTCAGTGCTTATGACCTAACAATCAGGCAATGCTTGATCCTGCTTGAGAAGTATGAGTTTGTTTTTCCTTTTCACTTGTCACTCCATTTGCTTATTTATGTTGAGTGTGGTCATGAAGTGGTCGCTCTTTTTATCAAGCATTAAACATATAGGATACAAATATGAAATGTTTGAAATTAGCCCACTTTAAGACTGAACCAATCAATCTATGCTTTAGTTACAGGCTGTAACTCTAACTTGCTGTTTGTGTCCCCTCTGGGCCTATTTTTATAGATTAAGGCAGTTGATAATGGTCGCCCACAAAAGTCATCAACCACTAGACTCCACATTGAATGGATCTCCAAACCCAAACCGTCCCTGGAGCCAATTTCATTTGAAGAATCGTTTTTTACCTTTACTGTAATGGAAAGTGATCCAGTTGCTCACATGATTGGTGTGATATCTGTGGAGCCTCCTGGCACACCCCTCTGGTTTGACATCATTGGTAAGCATTCCTCGTGGTTGTCATTGTCCTTGTGTAGGTAACACTGAGGAGAATCTGTGTATGGGTGTCTGAGTTTTGTGCACATGTCATGATTTAATATTGGGAGTAATACCTGTAGGTGGAGAATTGGCTTTAAACTATAATATTTTGATTGCAAAATTTTTCACAATGTGCAGTGTATATTAAATTTACTTAAAATAGGTGCTTTCTATCCATCCAGTTGGTAAAAGTAAAGTTTTTAAAATGTGCATCAAGGAGTTACATTAAAAAACCTAAATGTTTTGGTCTAAAAGCACAGCTTCTTAATTTTTAATTATTAATACATAACATACGGCGCATTATTATTTTTAATGACTATGATTGGAACATTTAAAGTAACTATGCCTGTGTGATTGTCACATGTCAGTATTTTGTAGGGAATAAGCTTACAAATTTTGTTTTAAAGTACCAGCTGTGGCTTTTTAGTTTTATTTATCTAATTTTCAGAAGGAAGCAGGGTTCATTAGATTAATTCATCCTCTAATAATAAAATTTACATGCTTAATAAGCCATTTCTTCTCCTTTTCTGTCATCCAGTTTAGCTCAGACATAGAATGTAATACCCTGTTCTACATGCTTTAAAAAATTCACATTAAACTTTGGCATCTTAGATTTTTTTTTCATTCTGTTTCTTCACAATATTTTAATTACAAGGATATTTTAAGATCAAAAGGATGTGTTGCAATTTTTCCTCCTTTGCCCCTTAGCCATGTTACTCCCAAACGCTCCTTCAGCAGGTTGAAGCTGAAGGGATCCAGACTGTGGGGACTTGGGGTGCAAGCAGGACAGGCTTTGTCCCCCTGAGCTTTCACAGTCGAAGGCTGGGCTGTTATCCCAGTTTTGGGTAGTATATGAAATTGTTGATATCATCAACACCTGTGAAACCATTGCAGTTTAGTTTTAAGGGAAGAAAACAATTATGTTCATAGTTATCTGTAATCAAAATAGCTCGTTTGCTTCTGCTAACTTTTGTCACATATCCAGACCAAGAGGCTGCTGTCAGGCAGTATCTGACTTGGCTGTCTAATACTTACGGTGTTCGGAGCTGGTTTGATTGACTGTTCTTATTCTGTGCTTGCTTTCCATGCTTGCTTGCTTCTTTTTGGCTGGCCAGGAGACACACTTGCTAGAGAAGTGTTTTACATCTTTCAGATGACTTGTGACCTGAACTGTACAGCAGAAGGTATCTGCTGAGATCACATAATTTGCCTCAGATTATGAGATCTAAAATAAATGCATTAATTTTTTTTTAAAAAAACTTATTTCCAGTGACTGTCTTTCATTGCTGTTTCTTTTCATAGTGTGCACATGGTCACCCATTCCAACTGCAAACACGTTGACTTAATACATCCTTAGATCCATAGCTTTAGGTTTGACTTAAGACTGTGTGTGCATTGTTTCATTTTTTGGTTAGATTTAGTAGTAGAACTTCATCATGACATTAAACATTTATTTTCATTCCATTCCATTTCGTTAATGTGTCTCAAGTTCAGTGGTTTTATCTAGAGTATAATTGAGGATGTATTTGGTTACTATTAGTAGGACAGAAACTTTTTTGCTTCATTAAGCTTTGTATTTGACAAGAATGGGAAAATAAATTCTTTTCAGATAGTGTCTAGTAGCCAGGACTAATTGAAGTTAACTGCCTTTTTTTAGAGTTAACATTTATTTTTAATAGTTATTTTTACTAGGGCAATATGTTCAAAATATCAAAAAACATTTTTTGAATACTTAAAACTTTTAAATGGCCAATGATGCTTCACATAGCTACTGAGATATAAATTGAAGAGACACTCAGATCCCCTGAAAAAGGAAATTGAAAGTAACTCATTTGGCAATATTAGCAGCGTTTTCTGTTTTCAGAGTTGCTTTCTTGCTTCCTTCCTCTCAGTCGGTTGCTTCCTTGACAATTACGGGTTCAGTTTTGCCTTAATAAGCGTTGTCTTTCTAATGGGCTGCTTTTTTCTTGCCTTTTCTAAATGCTTGCTTCTTGGAATCACTTTGATCAGTATACCAGAAGGTTTTTCCCACTGCCATTAAGTATTAGAAAGTCACAGAACAAATGGCAGATTTTCATCCCGTGACCTGTTTTTACTGATTCTGTCCTCATTTAAACTAGGTGGCAACTATGACAGCCAGTTTGATGTGGACAAGGGCACTGGGACCGTCATCGTCGCCAAGCCTCTTGATGCAGAACAAAAATCAAACTATAACCTCACAGTTGAGGCTACAGATGGAACCACCACTATCCTTACCCAGGTAAGTGAGTTACTTACTAATGGTGTATTTGTGAGAGGGAGATTAAGGTAACGTTCAGATTTAACGGTCCACAGGCAATATACACAGTTAGTTTTGCCCTGTGAGGTTCTAAAATAAGAAGTATGTTAGTATGTGGATACAGTTTAAAACTATAAACTATGCCAAGGTTTTTTTGTTTGTTTTTTTTTTATTTTTTGGGTTTTGTTTTGTGTTTTTGTGATAGGGTCTCATTCTGTTGTCTCAGCTAGAGTGCATCATAGCTCACTGCAGCCTCAAACTCCTGGGCTCATCCGGTCCTCTCACCTCAGCCTCCTGAGTAGCTGGGACTACAGGCACATGCCACCATGACCATGCCTGGCTAATTGGTCTGTTTTTTGTGGAGACAGAGTCTCCCTGTGTTGCTTGTGCTGGTCTCAAGTGATCCTCCCACCTTGGCCTCCCAAAGTGCTGGGATTATAGGCATGAGCCACTGTGCCCAGCCCCAAGGATTTTTATTTAGGGAAAGAAAATTAGTTCCAAATCCCAATTTAGCTTTTGTATATACTTAAAAAGTTTTGAAAATCTTGAGAAATGATTTTAAAAACAAAAAACCTACATTGTCATTTGCCATCAGAATCTTCTAATTGGGTACTCATTTTTCAACTGTGTTATTATAAAATACATCTCTGTTGAAGATGAATTGTCATTTTCAATAAAACTGGTTAAAGTGATTAATCTTTTAAATCACTTTTTTTGCACTCCCCCCCACCTTGGCTACCTTAACTAGTAGTGTGTAAAATAACTGATAAAATTGTTCTAATAATTCCTTTAACATTTTTACTGTTCCTATCTGATGACAGAGATGGCCAGATTACTGAGATTTCAGACTTAAATGTTAAAAAGCTATATGTTAAATTTTTAATTTCTCTTCTTTTTAATAATTCTCTTTGGTTCTCAGTGTGGGCTGTTTGAGCTATACGAAAGGAACATTCCTGAATGAAGGGGCATTGTGAGGTTTCAGGAGGAGGCAGAGTCACTCATTCAATAGATATTTGTTAAACATTAGTTATATGCCAGGTATTGTTTTGGAAGCTGAATAATAGAAAACAAAACAGACAAAAATGCTACCATCTGGAGCTTACATTAGGCTGATAGCAGCTAAAGGCTTGTATATAATCTGCTATGTTCTAAAAGAAAAAGGAAGAAGTTAAACAGTAGAGTATAAAATGCTTCTGACTTCCAATTTTCTAGCTTTAGGTTATACTATTTTAAATCTTAAGTGAGACAGATCATCTGCTAAATCATTTAGTTGCATTATATAGGATAAAAACTGTAGTCTGGAATGTCCTTTCAATTAACAAATGAGTAGATAATTTAAAGCCAGTTGTGAATAATTTATTTCTATTTCCAAATCCTTGTGATTTTTTTGTGTATGTAAAATTGATATATGTACACTATTCTGTATGCTTTTGGGATCATTTTGAGATTGTCATGTAAACGTAGTGCGGTATTAAAATTTCAATTTCGTCAGTAGCTGTTCTCATTCCGGAGACAAGCAGAATCAATTGGTTTTCTCTCTCTTTAAGGATAAGCTCTTGAAGGTAAATTTTAGAGCATGAAAATGAGAATAAAAGCATCAAGAATTGTAATAAATCTAACAGGATAATTCTAAGAGAAGGATTTCAAGAGTATAACTATAGTGCTGTTCATGTAATCAACTAACCAGAAATCTAGCAGAAGGAACTTAACAAGCAGTGGAAACGGCCTGGTGTGCCAAGCATTCTCATTGCTAAAGACAATACATCTACCTGAAGCATTTATTATTTATTACATCAATGAATAATTACTATTGCACTTCTTTCCCAATAATTGTATTTTTAATTAGTATAATTAAAAACTAATTATGAAATATGATGTACATTGACTAAAATTCCTGTAAAACCCAAGAAATATATTCTAGTTTTCTTTCTCAGGGGCACAGTATATCTCACATTTCAATGCTTCATTTATACGGAAACATAACTTGTTTCGGGTCATTTTCAGAGGGTTTTGATAATCTAAAGAGATGCTGCAGGGAAAGGTAGTCAGAATATGGGAGAATGATTACTGAGCCCGGGTTGACCTGTGAAGGTGTGGGACAAAGGGAACAATCAGTAATTAGGTTTAGGTTTTCAGTCTAGGGCAGAGAACAGGGAGAGAGGAATGGGGGTGCGGGGAGCATGCATAGCAACACAGAAACCAGAACCGGGTGCATAAGGCCCTGGAACACAGCAGGGTAGATTTGGGTTTGTAGGTAAAACTCAAAACCAACAAAGTGGATTTTGTGCATCCAGGCAAGCAGCAGCATATGTCAGGGTTAAGCATGTTCAGGAGGAGGTTTGGGAGAGCATGGTGGGTGAAGCAGGCGATCCTGAGCCGAGGTGTGCAGTGGGAGGGAGGGTCGGCACACGGCTGCCACTGCTCTGCAGAAACAGCTCTTGTTGCCTTCCCATCCCACCGTGCTCCTCCTAGGATGCTGCCCAGTATTGACGTGAGTCACTTTGCTTTATCTTGTATCTCCAGATAACTTAACAAATCCGGTTACCATTTTTTTTTCTTTATTGGGAACAGCTTTGCTTTCGTGTTTTCTTTCACTTTCTCTTGACCATCAGCATTGCATGCACGGGAACAGGCGGCTTGGTTTGGGTCTCAGCTCTGCCTCCTGCTCTTGTACATAGGCAAATAAATAGCTCTAACCCATTACGCTTCCATTTTCTCAGGTGGAAGGTGGGGTAGTGTTGACCACCCTCACAGAATCCTGGTAACGGTTACATGAGATGACACTGGGTGCTTGCCCGTCAAGCTCTGAGAGTACCAGCCCGTAAGCACTCAGAAGGCGAGAGCTATTGCACATCACACTGTCCTGGGCTCTTGTCCCCCCACCTGGCACATGATTCACCTTCCTCTGGCCAGTCTTTGTCCCTGCAGTTCATCTTGCAGGTGAATTTCCTCTGACCACAAGGTTCAGAAAGCACAGAGTATATAGTTCCCCAGCCTCGGGAGTCCAGCTCTGCACATTCCATCCCACCTTATTCCTGCTCCTGCTGTATTGTCCCTTATGTCCTTCTGTCCAGTGATGTTCAGTTCCAGCTCTCACCTTCATGTCTTTGAGAGAGTGTTTCCCCATACACGTTCACGCACCAACCAAACCCTCTCAAGCAAAGCATTACCACCTTCAGAGCTGTCCGAATGTCCCAGCCAATCTCTGGACTCTTAAAAATGTCCTTGATAATATATAAAACATAATTGCGCTTTGTATATGCATTGCCCGATGAGGCTGAAAGCTTTGTGAGAGCAGGGACTGTTGTGCATTTATTTTACACCCTCAGAACTACATAGGCAAATGCTAAGCATCTGAGTGCCCATTAATATGTTTCAATTGAATTGCCTTATCAAAAATGATTGGTTTTACTTTCAGCTGTTTTGACCTAATAAGGATTAGTTGGGTTTGGAGCAGGATTAAACTTCTCCACTTAACACCCAATACATGGGAAAAGTGACTTTTAAATTTATAGTGGAAATGACTATATAATGATTTAATTTGTAGAAATTATCTTTATAGCCATTCCTTCTGGATCATCACTGACCTTTAGAAATAAGTGTTTACAAAGCTTTTGTGTAAAACATTTCTTTGGTTTGGTGAATGCATTTAATATTCATATAAAATTTAATGTTACAAGTCCAATCGTTTGGTGTTTTAGTCTTCTATGAGTACATTGGTATGGTCTTCACAGAAAGGTCTCTGTTCAGACACCTGCACCAATGTGGTTAACAGCTTCCCCGGTGCATTCCTGGGACTTTGGCGTCCTGTGCCATTTGGGCTAGCAGATCTCTTTCTTCCATCCGAGCTAACAAGGCTCAGGTTTCTTGTTCTTAAACTCTGTACCATGTTTTATAATCAGTACTGATTTCCACTATATCTCATCCATGTATATGTTTTCGTTCTGAAAATTAATTCTCTTACTGTCAAAGTAAATGTTTTTTCTTGTTTTTTAATTTAGCTTAGGACTGAGTTTTTTAACAACTGCTTTTTTTCCTCTGAAGTTTTTATGTTGACATATTTAAGAGAGTTTATCTTTTCAGTCTATTTAAATTGCTTTTAAGAAGGCCAGGCACAGTGGCTCACGCCTGTAATCCTAGCACTCTGGGAGGCCAAAGCAGGAGGATCACCTGGGGTCAGGAGTTTAAGGCCAGCCTGAGCAACATAGCAAGACCTCATCTCTACAAAAAGTAGAGAAATTAGCCGGGCATGGTGGTGTGTACCTGTAGTCTCAATTACTTGGGAGGCTGAGGCAGAAGGATTGCTTGAGCCCAGGAGTTTGAGGTTGCAGTGAGCTATGATCACGCCACTGCCTGCAGGCCTTGGCAACAATGTAAGACCCTATCTCAAAAAAAAAAAAAAAAATTGCTTTTAGGGAATAAACATATTTACTACTTATGGTAGATTTTGAGATAATATAATGATTTTAAAACACATTTCTTTTTATATATTTAAAAACACCTATGATCAGGGATTTGTGGTGTGAAAGATTAGGATGAGAAATTTAGATAGTCTAACCATCTATGTCATTCATCTCAACAGGTTGGTAGTAACAGTCAAATCTGATACAAGATATTAGTCTTCTGTAAATTCTATTAATTCTGCTATCTTTACATGAGTAATCTACAAACATCTCTGTAGAAATATAAGAGAAATTAAGTCTACATTTCAGAAAAAAGGGTTGTGTAGGAAAAGTGTTACACTTTGTCTACAAAGTTAGTTTCAAGAATTTAGAAAGGTCTTTTTATCTTACTCATATTTAGGTAATATATCAGTGAGAAATGTTTTAAGAAGTTTTTGATCCTAGACTTTTGTTGCTTTTATTTCTCATATTAGTGTTTCGTTTTGCTAAAATAATTGTTTTTTTATTAGTGTACGTATAATTTTTTCCTGCTTTAAATATTAAAATATCACAATTAGGAATATGATTACATGAGTCATTTTGTCAATCATTGTAGGTATTCATCAAAGTAATAGACACAAATGACCATCGTCCTCAGTTTGCTACATCAAAGTATGAAGTTATTATTCCTGAAGATACAGTGCCAGAAACAGAAATTTTGCAAATCAGTGCTGTGGATAAGGATGAAAAAAACAAACTAAGCTACACTCTGCTGAGTAGCATTGATCCATTGAGTCTGAAGAAATTTCGCCTTGATCCTGCAACTGGCTCTCTCTATACTAGTGAAAAGCTAGATCATGAAGCCATTCACCAGCATGTTCTCACAGTCATGGTAGGTAGGGCATTCTGCTCAGTCTTCTGCCACCTTTGGGTCCTGAAAGGTTTCATGTGTTTGAGAATGATCTTTAATCAGTTATAAGGAAAACCTCAACGGGATTGATAATGTATTGATTCTTTTAGGTACGGGATCAAGATGTCCCTGTAAAACGCAACTTTGCAAGGATTGTTGTCAACGTCAGCGACACGAATGACCACGCCCCGTGGTTCACCAGTTCCTCCTACGAAGGGCGGGTGTATGAATCAGCAGCTGTGGGCTCAGTGGTGTTGCAGGTTACAGCTCTGGACAAGGACAAAGGGAAAAATGCTGAAGTGCTGTACTCAATTGAATCAGGTACGAGTGGAATACTCAGTAGAGTTTTAACTTTGTACTTAGCTGAAGTCTACTTCTTCTTTTCCAAAATTGGTTCTGGATATTGAGGCATTTCTGTGTATCTCTGCAAAAATTGCTTAAAATTTATCTCTAGCTACAGTATTTTTACATGTTAGGAGAAAGAAGAGGATTTAAAAAAAACACACAAAAACCTTTTAGCCTATCGGAGAGCAAAGGTAGAGTCCTAACTAAATTTGTGTAAAGTTCTTGAGGATTCACCATATTAGTGTAAGTCAAGACTCCGAGAAGTTCTGTGGTAAGGAAACTTTATTTGACCAGTTCAATAATTCCAAAATTATCATAACCACACTTTTTCCTCTGTTATATCAGTTAACTATGAAACACACTTAGGAAGATGCTGGCCTAGTAATTTAACATTTTACTACCTTGTCGGAGTATTTTCTCTTAGGCAGAGCAAGAAATCCCATGACAGAGTGCTGACGCATGCAATTCCAGTTGACTCAAATCTCAGAAAGGGAGGGTCATGCCCCTCCTGCCCTTCCCAGGTTTAGCCCTTTTTTTGCCACTCACTTTAACCAGTTACCTTTAACCAGGTGAGTTTCATCCATGGAATTGGGTAGTTGAAATAGACCCTGGAGTTGGGACTGGACCAGAGGAATGGTGACAAGGCCAGGGGTCTGCCGGAGCTGGGCATGAGGCAGCAAGGGCCAGGGGACCCCCTGGAACTCTGCAGGGCAGGACAGCCCTTCCAGGGACAACAGGGCGAGAAACCTGGAGTCTTGCTGGGGGCGGCAAGGAGGACCACCAAGAAGCAGTCCTGGCAAAGTGAAAAATGCTTTCGTTTTCTCTTCTGTTTTGTGCTGCTATTGCTGCATTCACTCCACAGGCAAGTGGAGCTCGTTTTATGTGCTTGGTGCCATGTTGGGAGTACTCACGCTTGATGGGTAGGGGTTACCGTTGGGTCCGCATGATTTATACAGTCAGAAATCTCATTGCTTTGGGACTTTGCCTACTCATGCCAAATACTATAAATGAGTGATTAAATATTGAGAAGGCAATTCACAGTTTTCCATTTTCCTCAGTGCCACTGTTAGTACAAGGAATATAGTCTATTTCTGTCTTCTTTGTAATGAGTTCAGAGAAATAAGATCTTCCATTTAACTTGACTTTAGTTTTTTTTAAGTCCATACCTCTATATATTTAGAAATAGTCTCTTCTAGGAATTAGAATTGGTGCAGATGTAGGTTAACTATAGATCGTGTAATCAAAACCTGAGTAAATGTAGAGTAATTAAAAAAAAGTACTTACTGATGTGTGTTAGGTAGTTAAACTATTTTTATTTCTTAACATATTTAAAATTTCATTTTGTTTCCCTTAAGACAACCAAATTGATTTCATTACTCACAAATAAGATCTTACATATTGCCTGTGATTGCAGTGTTAAAATGTATTGTAGTGTAGGTAGTGCCTTGAATAAAGATTAAGTTTTTTTCCACTGGTTCAGAAATTTAGCTGTTAAAAAAGCAGTGCATTCCATTTGTGCATGCCTGAACACTTCAATAAAGTAATTTTGTCATAGACAAACTGACGGGGTTTATGTAGGAGAAAATGTTAAACTTTCCCTTAGCTTTCACATAATTTTCAACAACTGGGTGGTTAAAATATGATTGTTGGTGTCTGAGTAAAAGCATGTGCATTCTTTAAATGCTTGTAGTGACTGATGGATTTAGTAATTTGGTATTTTAAGAATGGATATCTGTCTACCCTCAAAGAATAAATGAGACCAATGGCCTATTTCAATGTAGAATTAGAGCTTTGTAGAAGATATTTTTATAGTTTTGGTGATGTAAAAATTATGCTAAATAATTACTTTGTAGGAAACCACTATTAAAATGCACTAGAATTGTGTGTGCGTGTATCTGTTGGAATAGTATGAATTATAAAATGCTCACACTGCCTGTCATTTAACAGTTTATTCATAATCACCTGCTTGTAATTTGTGTCAGATAACATTTAGTAAAGTTCAAAAGGCTAGTTATAAATTCATTCTATAATACCGCATGTTTAATTGGCAGTAATTTATTAAGCAAAAGGTTTGGCCTGATTAGGAGTGTTTATGGAAAAAGGAATTAATGAAAAGATATTTTCAGTAACAATTGGGGTTATGTGCTGGAGAAACGTCAGTGCCATACTCTACTGTGTGATGTTTTCTTCTCTTTATGTCTTTTTTTAAAAGTAGATTATTGGAGCACTGCCTTGAAACTTTTGTAATGCCTAGAAGTAGAAGACAGTAAATACACTTATTGATTAGAATTGGTTTTCTTTCCCAAACTTAGGTTAAATAAATATAATTGCCTTGAAAGTTGATAGAGGTTGCTGTCCTGTCAGGCAGCCAGCAGGTCCTTACCGACCGTCCCCAGGGTGTCCGCAGGGGAAGAAGCGACCCCCTGCGCAGCTCTGTGTAGTAGAGTGATAGCTTAAGAGCACAAATTGGCTGTTTGTCCGCGTATACAGAGAACAATTTAGGGCTGTGTAGAAAGTCACTAATATTTTAGCTAAAGTGAACGAGTAAGCCCCCAACCTAGTACAGACTTCTCCACTGCCTTATCTTAATTCATTCACAAATATCACATGTGTAAAAAATGTCAGTGGTTGGTGAATGTACCTATTATTAGCAAAGGCAGTGGCACATTCATGCCACTCAGCGGCCCTCCGTGTTTCTCCAAATAAGTATGACGCTGCTCTCCTGCCTGCAAATCTGATGATTTCTGCCTTTGTAATAAGACAGTGAGATCCATACATCAAATCACTTAGCTGGGCTCCCATTTAACTTTTTATTATCAGTGACAGGCTCGGAGCCGTCTTTATCAAAGTGGAGATACCCCAGATAATAAAGGGTGTTCCTCCATTTCCCATGGCCAATAAAGAGCAAGACTATATGCTGCAAAGAAAACTCAGGGTGAGGAGATGGAACAGCCGTGCTGAATAGGGGCGTCGAGGGAGGCCTTAGCCAGGGGCACTCGAGTACAGCCTGAGCGAGTGAACGAGTGAGTGGAGCAGCAGGGAGGGCGGCTGGGGAAGACCGTCCAGGAGAGGACACACCACAAAGGGCTCGGCGGTGAGCGCGCGCTCCTGGCTCCGGAGCCGAGGAGGTTGCCGGCGTGGCTGGAGGGCAGGGAGCAAGTTGCCTGGGAAGCGGAGTGTCCGGCACAGCCAGCCTGAACACGCTGTGGCGTGGATGAAATCTATTCATTCTTCTTTGAGGCCTTACACATTTGAAGCTTTACTGGCAAAGTATTTCCCTATACGAAATAAGGGAAATGCATGTTGAAGAATGAAAATATGGTAGGTCATCTGCTTTATGAGTACAGACACAGGAAGTCTGAGGGGTGGGGATGGAGACAGTTGCCACAGTCTCCTATGTCCGTCACAGTTTTGGGAGGTAGGGGTGATGCACAGCTAGGATGAGAAAAGGATCCTGGAGCACTGATGACTGCCTACGCCGCCATGAGAGAGGACCTGGGATCTCTGGCTGTTGTAATGCAGGCAGGCCGGAAATCAGTGTCTCAGCAGCCTGGCAGGGGCAGCAGGAGCTCATCATGGGCCAGGGCTCAGCTCCAAGCACCAGGCCCGAGCAGAGCCTGGGCCTCGCCCTGTTGCAGACAAGACGCTGCCTTGGGGGAGAGCGTCTGAGAGCCAGGCAGACTTAATGAAAACCAGGCTGGGTCTGGCTCCGAAAAAATGGTCATGGATTTTTGGAAAATGTATTAAAGGAAGGAAATGAAGACTGTAGAGGAAGTGTTTACTGTTAATGATATGGAAAAAGAAGTACTTGGTTAATCCCCTGGTTTGCAGCTCACACTAAGTAGATCTGGTCTGTGAAATGCCATACTGATTGCAAACCTAGAGGAAGAAGAATTTGAGAAGTTAGTTAAATGGCAAATGAACTTTATTTTAGGTAGGTGTAATAGTTCATTTGGGAAAAATAAATTTCATGCTATGATGGGGATAATGAATTCTGGACATTCATTTATGAAATAGAAAAGGGGTGGAGGTTTCATGGACAAATCAAACCTGAGGGCTCAAACATCTCCAAAAGGGCTGTAGAAAGCTGCTGTTTTCTTCAAAAAGATTTCAATCGATGGTACAAAACTATGGAATATTGTAGAGTTACAGTTGGAGCTAAATGTATATATACAATATAGCCTGAAAAAGTCCAAAGAAAAGCAAGTAAAACCGTCCTTCTAGAGCAGTCTCTCAGCTAGCACTGTTGATGTTTTGGGCCAGATGAGTTTGTTGCAGGGCCGCCCTGTGTGCTGTGGGGTACTAGGCAGCATCCCTGCTCCCTACCCACTAGATGCCAGTAGCACTCTCTCCCTCCAAGCTGTGACAACCAGAAGTGTCTACAGACATTGCCGGAAGTCTCCTTGGGAACAAAATCACCCCAGTTGAGAACCACTGACCTAGAAGATAAATTGACCTGAAAAAGATTAAGAAGGGGAATGTTGTTGAAATCTTCAAAACCTGTAAAGTGGGATGAATAAGTTATAAAAACTTATTACCAGTTTTCTGAATATTTAAAATAAGAGGCAGCTCTTTTGAAACTTGATGTAAGTTTTCTTACTAAATTGACATATATTCCTTTATAAAGAAGAAGAATCTTGAGAATTTGTGAGTTATAACTGCTGAAAATATAAATGTGTTCCGGAAGGATGTTGAGAGACCCGTGGGAAATTATTAACTGAGCTGTTTTGTGGGAGGATGACCACGTCCTTCCACTACCTCCCCAGTTCAACCCAGAGAGTGAGTTTGGGCTTTAGGTACCAGGTAGTATTTCTTCTGTTTCTTGCTTTTCATAATTTAAGAAGAAAATTCTGAAAAGTATAGCTGGTTTTAGGTGGATAAAAATAAAACAAATTGAAGGTTCTGTTCAAGTGTTATATCCTGAATTTCTGCTTAATTTCAGAATATAATTTTTCAAGATACCTGTATTTGTTTGTTTCTCCAGCTATACTACTACTTCTATTGCTCCTTGTGTTTTTCTCTAACATACTTTTTTCTCTCCTTCCAGGAAATATTGGAAATTCTTTCACAATTGATCCCATCTTGGGCTCTATAAAAACTGCCAAAGAATTAGACCGAAGTAACCAAGTGGAATATGATTTAATGGTAAAAGCTACAGATAAAGGCAGTCCACCAATGAGTGAAATAACTTCTGTGCATGTCTTTGTCACAATTGCTGACAATGCCTCTCCTAAGTTCACGTCAAAAGAATATTCTGTTGAAATTAGTGAAACTGTCAGCATTGGGAGTTTTGTCGGAATGGTCACAGCCCATAGTCAGTCATCAGTGGTATATGAAATAAAAGATGGAAATATAGGTGATGCTTTTGATATTAATCCACATTCTGGAAGTATCATCACTCAAAAAGCCCTGGATTTTGAAACTTTGCCCGTTTATACATTGATAATACAAGGAACTAACATGGCTGGTTTGTCCACTAATACAACTGTCCTAGTGCATCTGCAGGATGAGAATGACAACTCGCCAATTTTTATGCAGGCAGAATATACAGGACTCATTAGCGAATCAGCTTCAATTAACAGTGTGGTCCTAACAGACAAGAACATCCCTCTAGTGATTCGAGCAACTGATGCTGATAAAGAGTCAAATGCCTTGCTTGTTTACCACATCGTTGAGCCATCTGTACACAAATATTTTGCTATTGATTCCAGCACTGGTGCTATTCATACAGTCCTAAGTCTGGACTATGAAGAAACAAGTATTTTTCACTTTACTGTACAAGTGCATGACATGGGAACGCCACGTTTATTTGCTGAATATGCAGCAAATGTGACCGTACATGTCATTGACATTAATGACTGCCCTCCCGTGTTCTCCAAGTCAGTATATGAAGCATCTCTTTTGTTGCCATCATACAAAGGAGTAAAGGTCATCACAGTAAATGCTACAGATGCTGATTCAAGCTCGTTCTCACAGTTAATGTACTCCATCACTGAAGGCAACATTGGGGAAAAGTTTTTTATGGACTACAAGACTGGTACTATAACTGTACAAAACACAACTCAGTTAAGAAGCCGCTACGAGTTGACCATTAGAGCTTCTGATGGCAGATTTGCCAGCTTTACCTCTGTGAAAATTAATGTGAAAGAAAGCAAAGAGAGTCAGCTAAAGTTTACCCAAGATTCCTACTCTGCAGTGGTGAAAGAGAATTCCACTGAAGCCAAAACACTAGCTGTCATTAGTGCTATTGGGAATCCAATCAATGAGCCCTTGTTCTATCACATCCTCAACCCAGATCGCAGATTTAAAATAAGCCGCACTTCGGGAGTGCTGTCCACCACTGGTATTCCCTTTGATCGCGAACAGCAGGAGTCAGTCAATGTGGTCGTGGAAGTGACAGAAGAAAATAAACCTTCAGCAGTAGCCCATGTTGTTGTGAAGGTCACCGTAGAAGACCAAAATGACAATGCACCAGTGTTTGTCAACCTTCCCTACTATGCTGTTGTTAAAGTGGATACTGAGGTGGGCCACGTCATTCGCTACGTCACTGCTGTAGACAGAGACAGTGGCAGAAACGGGGAAGTGCATTACTACCTTAAGGAACACCACGAACACTTTCAAATTGGACCTTCGGGTGAAATTTCGCTGAAAAAGCAGTTTGAAATTGACACCTTAAATAAAGAATATCTCATCACAGTGGTTGCAAAAGACGGAGGAAACCCGGCCTTTTCCGCTGAAGTTATTGTTCCAATCACTGTTATGAACAAAGCCATGCCCGTGTTCGAAAAGCCTTTCTACAGTGCGGAGATCGCAGAGAACATCCAGATGCACAGCCCGGTTGTCCATGTACAAGCCAACAGCCCAGAAGGGTTGAAAGTGTTCTACAGCATCACAGACGGAGACCCTTTTAACCAGTTTACCATTAACTTTAATACTGGAGTTATAAATGTCGTAGCTCCTCTGGATTTTGAGTCCCACCCTGCATATAAGCTGAGCATACGGGCAACTGACTCCTTGACTGGGGCTCATGCTGAAGTATTTGTGGACATTGTAGTGGAAGACATCAACGATAACCCTCCTGTGTTTGTCCAGCAGTCATATGCAGCCACCCTGTCTGAGGCATCTGTCATTGGAACATCTGTCGTGCAAGTGAGAGCAACAGATTCTGATTCAGAACCAAATAGAGGGATTTCTTACCAGCTGTTCGGGAATCATAGCAAGAGTCATGATCATTTTCACATAGACAGCAGCACTGGTCTCATTTCACTAGTCAGAACCTTGGATTATGAACAGTTCCAGCAGCACAAGATTTTCGTAAGAGCTGTTGATGGTGGTATGCCCCCACTGAGCAGCAGTGTGATTGTCACAGTGGATGTCACTGACCTCAATGATAATCCACCACTGTTTGACCAACTGATCTATGAAGCCAAAATCAGCGAGCATGCCACTCACGGGCATTTTGTGACCTGTGTAAAAGCCTATGATGCAGACAGTTCTGACATAGACAAGTTGGAATATTCCATTCTGTCTGGAAATGATCATAAAAATTTTGTCATTGACAGTGAAACGGGGATCATCACCCTCTCAAACCTGCGCCGGCACACCTTGAAGCCATTTTACAGCCTTAACATTTCTGTTTCTGATGGAGTTTTTAGAAGTTCAGCTCAGGTTCATGTCACTGTAATTGGAGGCAATTTGCACAGTCCTGTTTTTCTTCAGAATGAATATGAAGTGGAACTAGCTGAAAATGCTCCCTTACATACTCTGGTGATTGAGGTTAAGGCAACTGATGGGGATTCTGGTATTTATGGTCAAATTTCTTACCATATTGTAAATGACTTTGCCAAAGACAGATTTTACACAAACGAGAGAGGACAGATATTTACTTTGGAAAAACTTGATCGAGAAACTCCAGCAGAGAAAGTAATCCCAGTTCGTTTAATGGCTAAAGACGCTGGAGGAAAAGTTGCTTTCTGCACCATTAACGTCATCCTCACAGATGACAATGATAATGCGCCACAGTTTCGAGCAACCAAGTATGAAGTGAACATCGGATCCAGTGCTGCCAAAGGTACATCAGTCATTAAAGTTCTTGCAAGTGATGCCGACGAGGGATCCAATGCGGACGTCACCTATGCCATTGAAGCAGACTCTGAAAGTGTTAAAGAGAATCTGGAAATTAACAAACTGTCTGGCGTAATCACTACAAAGGAAAGCCTAATCGGCTTGGAAAATGAGTTCTTCACTTTCTTTGTTAGGGCTGTGGATAATGGGTCTCCACCAAGAGAATCTGTCGTTCCTGTGTATGTTAAAATTCTTCCACCAGAAACGCAGCTTCCAAAATTTTCAGAACCCTTTTATACCTATACAGTTTCAGAAGACATGCCTATTGGAACAGAAATAGATACCATCCGAGCAGAACATAGCGGGACTGTTCTCTACAGCCTGATCAAAGGGAATACTCCCGAAAGTAACAGGGATGAGGCCTTTGTGATCGACAGACAGAGCGGGAGACTGAAACTGGAGAAGAGCCTTGATCATGAGACAACTAAGTGGTATCAGTTTTCCATACTTGCCAGGTGCACTCGTGATGACTCTGAGGTGGTGGCTTCTGTGGATGTCAGCATCCAAGTGAAAGATGCAAATGATAACAGCCCAGTCTTAGAATCTAGTCCATATGAGGCATTTATTGTTGAAAATCTGCCAGGGGGAAGTAGAGTCATCCAGATCAGGGCGTCTGATCTGGACTCAGGAACCAATGGCCAAGTGAAGTATAGCCTGGATCAGTCACAAAGTGTAGAAGTCATCGAATCTTTTGCCATTAACATGGAAACAGGCTGGATTACAACCCTAAAGGAACTTGACCATGAAAAGAGAGACAGTTACCAGATTAAAGTGGTTGCGTCGGACCACGGAGAGAAGGTTCAGCTCTCCTCCACAGCCATCGTGGACGTGACCGTCACTGATGTCAACGATAGCCCGCCACGATTCACGGCAGAGATCTACAAAGGGACCGTGAGTGAAGACGACCCCCCGGGGGGCGTAATTGCCATATTAAGCACCACTGACGCTGATTCTGAGGAGATTAACAGACAGGTCACGTATTTTATCACAGGTAAAAAATTCAGACTAAATGATTTAATTTAAAATCAAATTCTTGTAGAAGTATAAATTCTGAGATATGTATTTTGTGAAAATTGGGAGTTAAAGGGTTGATTTTAGTTAAGAGTATCTAAAATAAGTAGGAATAACATCTGTTAGGCTACATTTCGAGTCTGTTACGGGAGCAAAGCTAATAATTGTTTCATTAGGCTGTTTTTTTATTTTTGTGACTCATTCTATGGAACTATATACTCATTGTAAAATAAATATGCATTTTTATAATGAAAAAGAAATAACGATAGTGTTAATGTAGGCTAGATTTTTATTTAGCAGTCTTTATATTTTATTTGGCTTAATGCTAGTGTTCATACATTTTAATGCTGCTTTGATTTGTTTTATAAATAGGAAAGCTAATATACCAAATTTAAATTATTTTTTAAATCCTTAATTCTTCTAAACCATAACATCATATATCTTCTGTACAGTTTATTTTTGCTGTTACTTATTTTTCTCCTTCTTTCAACAAATTTGACTGATCTTCCTCCATTGATGTAATAGGAGGAGATGCTTTGGGACAGTTTGCTGTTGAAAATATACAGAATGAGTGGAAGGTCTATGTGAAGAAACCTCTGGACAGGGAAAAAAAGGACAGTTATCTTCTGACAATCACAGCGACTGATGGTACCTTCTCATCAAAAGCTATAGTTGAAGTGAAAGTTCTTGATGCAAATGATAACAGTCCGGTTTGTGAAAAGGTAGGCTACTCTTTCCTTACATTTGTAGAGTATGAATTTAAATTTCTTTCTGAATCTTTTCAGTAGGACTATCATTTGATGCTGTGGTGTAATTCAAATGTTTTATATTGTAATCACTTACTGTTGAAGGAGAGGTGAGTGTTAAATAGGACGGGTCTTGGAAAAGCTTCAGAACTATTTTGGGGAATGCTAAATAGGTTAACAATTTTGTTCTAAAAAACTGTAAGTTATGGAGAGGATTATGATTTTGTGTCCAGCTCTAAAAATGCTCTGTAACCTTTTCATGAAGGGATTCTCTTAATTTGGGGATACAGTTATTTTGGGGGAACTATCTGGCCCGCCGTTCTTTAGACGAAGCTCTGATTTGCTTTAAGAGACCCTTTTGGAGGCACTTGCTCTCCTGCACACTAGAGAACCAGAGGAGAGCAGCATGGTTCCTGCTCCTGTGCAGCTAGAGGGAACTAATGAGGGAACTAATGTAGACGAGGAGAGAGCCAGTTCCCTCCAATAGGATGAGGGCAGGGCACTCACGCAGGAGTGGTCCCTGGTGCTGGAGGATGAGGAGGAACACTCAGAGCCAGGGCTGGTCCTTGGGAGGCCATGACTAGAAGCAGATGGGGAGAGGCCGGGGATGTGCCTCTCCCCATCTGTGGGAGGAGTCACGTAGTGTGCCAGAGTGGGGAATGTGCATTGAGAGTCATGGAAAAGAAGTTTCAGGGGAGAAAGGGGTGAACTGGATTATAGTGGGTATGATGTTCATTCCTTCCAGAGGATTTGAACTCCTCCTAGAAAAGTATGGACTCTGACTCCCCTCTGTGGAAGGTAGAGATGGCATGAACCAGCAGTTCCTTAAAGCAGTTTGGTGTGGAAGTATTATGCCCATTATTGAGATGAGGAGGGATCACAGAGTACAAAGAGAGGCAGCAGGGGAATGAAAGGAGCAAAGACACCACATGGGAAACCGTCTGGACACAGCAGTGTGGCATGTGCCATGAGTCAAGACTGCCCCCTCTGCAGCCACCAGGAATCCTTGTTTTCCCCCATAACGCTAAGATAGCTTCTCTCCCAGCTGCAATTATTTGGTTTTGTGTTGGGAGCGCTTGCAAACTGAGTTCCTGTATTTGGAAATAAGTAGATATGATGTAGTAGATATTTGTTCTCTCCAGTTTTTAGGTAAATATTGATTGCTACTTGATTTTCTCATAAGAATTAAAGCTAAATATGGAACTAACTCAACAATAGGTAATATTGTATATTCTGTAGATTAAATGTCAGGTCAGACTCAGGGATGTAGAGTTGGTGACTGTTCCATGGCTCCTTCTTGTTTTACATGTGTTTTATGAGAAAAAAATTATTTGGATTTTAACTTGAGTCATTTCTCATGCTTTCTGTGGCCAAAGATAAATTATTTCTTCTCCATTATTCCCTTGGCAGTCATTCTGACTTTTCATGGTTTTTTGCTAACAATATTGTTTAAAATCTTTGTAGACATTATATTCAGACACCATTCCTGAAGACGCCCTTCCTGGGAAATTGATCATGCAGATCTCTGCTACAGATGCAGACATCCGTTCCAATGCTGAAATCACTTACACGTTATTTGGTTCAGGTGCAGAAAAATTCAAACTAAATCCAGACACAGGTAATGATGGAGTTGGGGGCAAAATTAATTATATATTCCAACCAGATCACACAAAAAATTTGAAATTACATGTTATCCTTTTCAAGTTGATGCTGATGCAATGAAATTGACATCATTTAGAAATCTAAACAGTAATTCAGTTGTAAAATTTGGGGTGATGTAAAAAACTTAACAGCAAAAATATTACCTACTTGAACCAAAGATTTAAAATTTAAAAACTGTTCATACAGCTTATTTTTTTAAAATACTCAGAAGTTAGAGTATATCTCAAAGTTTCTGCTTTATCTATTTTATTTATAGCACATCTTCTTGAATTTATGACCATAAATTTGTAATTTAGCATTTTCATACTTAAAATGATTCATGGTATTTTATTAATTTTTAAATAGAGTTGTTTTCTTCTTGTAATTTGTATTTTGTTAAAATTGGAATTAAGCTTTTTAATTACCCCCCCAACTAATCATGAACATAGTAATATAATTTTTAAGTCAATTTAAAAAATGTTTTAATTTGTTAAATTAGGTAACTGTTTTATTTTGCGACAGCATATGTAATGTAAAAGGGCCTGATGTCTCTGACTGGAAGAGCTAGCACCTGGCAGGATTTAAAAACCTGGGACTCACTGTGCGCATGCAGCTGTTGAGTCTGTCATTGATAAAAGCTGTTCTCCAGGGGAAGGCTGTTACTCAGATTCTGGAATTGTAAGAGAAAAGGTGCTCCATTGTAGTTCACTTCGTAAATTTGTAGTGAGTCCATTTTTGTCTGTTTTAGGTGAACTGAAAACATTGGCCCCCCTCGACCGTGAGCAGCAAGCAGTGTATAATCTTCTAGTCAAGGCCACAGATGGCGGGGGGAGGTTCTGTCAAGCCAGTGTTGTGCTCACATTAGAAGACGTGAATGATAACGCACCCGAATTCTCTGCTGACCCTTACACCATCACCGTGTTTGAGAACACGGAGCCGGGGACGCTGCTGACACGAGTGCAGGCCACCGACGCCGACGCAGGTATCCTCCAGAAGATGCTTTTGCCTTCAGACTACTCACCGAGATCTTGGGAGCCTCAGTAGTAAAACACATCCCAAATTCAGCCTGTGTAACTCACCTTACCTCACGCATGTTGAATCGCCCGTCTTTGTCATAATGAAGTCTTTAGAATAATTAATTCATTGTTAATGAATATTTAAAGTCCCCAAATCGTGTCTGGTGAACCTACTGCTTGTAAGGTGTCTGGTGTCACTAAAATTCGGGTTAGTGACTGTGTTAACTGCTCTTCATATGCCATTGAATTAATTAGTGAAGTGTTATTTTGTGAATAAACCATTAGTGATATTAGAGAGGTTTTTGGCATCGTTGGAACATAACAAAAGCAAATAGTGTTACAGATTTACAAATCTCTCAAATTTTTTTATGGAGAAATTTGATTATAGGATATATATTCATAGCATTTTGATAGCAGAGAATAAATTCTTCAGTCATGTTGCAGGTTAAGTACCCCTTATTCAAAATGCTTGGGACTAGAAATGTTTTGGACTTTAGGTATTTTTTTGGATTTTAGAATATTTGCATTATACTTACCAGTGGAGCATCCCAAATCCAAAATGCTCCGACAGGCATTTCCTCTGAGCATCATATTGACACTCAAAAAAGATTTGGATTTTGGAGCATTTCAGATTTTGGATTTTTAGGCAAGGGATACTCAACCTGCAATACTGAAGAACTAGAAGAATACCAAAAATGTTACTTTCCAAATAACTCTTTGTCACTGAAGCTAAATAATAAATAACATTTTAAAGGTCTGCTGGATACTATAGCATAGGCTTCTGTATAAAAATAGCTTAAAAAGCCAGATACCTATGAAATTATATATAATTGTTTTAAGTCGGTAAATTGTTAAACCAAAAAAGTTTGCTTTTCAGGATCATAGTCAAGAATTTTTAAAGAATGTATAGTAACATTTTCTTTTATATATACACTGTATGTATTGTTTTTTTTAAAAAAAAAAAGAATAAGTTTAAATTTCTAGATATAAAGCTTTCTGACATGATTTCATGTCTTGACAGGATTGAATCGAAAGATTTCCTACTCACTGCTGAACTCTGCTGATGGGCAATTCTCCATTAATGAGTTATCTGGTATCATTCAATTAGAAAAGCCTTTGGATAGAGAACTCCAGGCCGTATATACCCTTACTTTGAAAGCTGTAGATCAAGGCTTGCCAAGGAGGCTGACGGCTACTGGCAGTGTTATTGTGTCAGTTTTGGACATAAATGACAACCCCCCTGTGTTTGAATACCGTGAGTATGGTGCCGCAGTGTCTGAGGACACTCTCGTTGGAACAGAAGTTCTTCAAGTGTATGCAGCAAGTCGGGATATTGAAGCAAATGCAGAAATCACCTACTCAATAATAAGTGGAAATGAACATGGAAAATTCAGCATAGATTCTAAAACAGGTAACCTACCATATATCTGAGAGGAAGCCCTTTATTCCACCAAAAAGGCTAGATTTGCTTGTCATTTTACTTTATTCTAAGTGACAGGCCACACATTGTCAGCATTCTAGAAAGATAAATCTTAAGTTTTCCTTTAGTTGTTTAAACTGGTATTGAAAGTGGTTTAGAAGACTTCAGACTGTAGTTCTACTTAATAAAATACATTTCTGGTATATCTGTTATAAACTCTGAGCAGATTAACTTAAAATAGAAAATTAAAGCATCACATTCTAATAGTTTAGTCATAGTATAAGGTGTTCGAGTTAGTAAAGATAAGAATGAATAAATAGTAGAGGGCCTTGTATAATTATTCCCTTTATTTCTCATGTCAAATTCATGGGAAGTAACTTCTTAAGTAAAACAGTAGTTTCACCCTCTTTGATCTTAGTTTCTATAGTGGCCATCTGATAATTTGTTAAATTGACTTCTTTATCATGCAGTTATTTATAACAGTTGAAAGTGCTTTGAATCATACTTGAAAGACTGCCAACAAGGTCAAAAGTCATGGGAACTGTTGACTCTTGCTGCATAAATACTTTCAAATATTGCTAACCTGTGGTCTAAATTAGCTATAAGTCTTAGAACATTGTAAAAAGTTGCTCCTTTCAGACTGTTTAATCTTATGTGATTATTTTAGATAAAGAATAGCGCTGTGATGATGCTATTTTAAAACATTTTTAATATGTGTCATAAAATTATTTGTAGGGCTTTTTTTTTTATCCCATTCTCTTTTTAAATAGAGTGGACTGTAATGAAGTGAAAAATGTTAAAGGAAATACTAAGTCAAAAGGGATTTTTTTATAACACTAGGATGTAAATAGAGGGTTATTCTAAATAAAAGGATGTACATCTCTACTTTCAGAAATTAAGAGAAGGAAAAGAAAATTAAAAGTCACAGAACAGAATTTTTGTGTTTTTATTTACTAAACTAGAGTGAAGTCTGTAGTGAACTGTGGTTTAGAAGAGCTGAGAGAGTAATCGTTTTTGTAACAGGGATATGGGGAGTGTTGTCTGGGAAAGCAGTTTAAATATCATGAAGAATATCAGGACAGTAATAAGGAGAAATATATAAAGATCTAGGGATGGGCAAATTCCTAATTTTTAATTATTGAATTAAGAAATTTAGAAAGCATACATAAATGATGAGTAGACTTTAGAAGTGAAAACTAAATGTGCTTGAAAGTGTTACCTACTTCAGTCACTAGTAGGGAAAAGTGGTGTTGTTATAAACTACTGGAAGTAACTTCGATTTTCTGTACAGGGGCCATCTTTATCATTGAGAATCTGGACTATGAAAGCTCTCATGAATATTACCTAACTGTAGAAGCCACTGACGGAGGGACGCCTTCGCTGAGCGATGTTGCAACTGTGAACATTAATGTAACTGATATCAATGACAACACCCCCGTGTTTAGCCAGGACACCTACACAACAGTAATCAGTGAAGATGCTGTTCTCGAGCAGTCTGTCATTACGGTGTGTATTTTTCCCCTTACAGTTTCCTTCTTCTGGATCTTTGTAAGAGTTTTTTAGGAAAAATTGATGCAGTTTTTGCAGTGGCCTATTTGAAAATATTTTGGAGATGTTAAAATGTCTTTTGTTAGTCCAGTGTACTACTGACTTTATGATAAGCAGTTGCATTAAACTGCCAGCTGTTAATATGAGAAAATGTGTTTAACAGGTGTATGCCCCTGGCTTAGCTCACTCCTAAACAGGAATGCGATTTTCTAGGTTATGGCTGATGATGCTGACGGACCTTCAAACAGCCACATCCGCTACTCCATTATAGATGGCAATCGGGGAAGCCCATTTACGGTTGACCCCGTCAAGGGAGAAGTGAAAGTGACCAAACTGCTAGACCGGGAAACAGTAAGTGGAAAAGTTTGATTTAAATTGTTTACCAAATCGATAAATACAAGTGCTTTGTGTTCATATTTTGTGGGCATGATGTGAGCTATCAAAAGGACAGAGCCAGCTTTCTTCTCAGGAACCTACAAGCTAGATGGCAATACTTGGAAAGCAATTACAGTGTGGAAATTTCAAGAATATAAGAAATACGTTCCATACTAATATGAAGTTTGTGTTTAGGAAATTGCTGTTGGCTTTAATGTGCTGAGAAACTTCATGAAGCTAGAAGCTGGGTTTTACGTAATAGCAAAGAGCTGGAAAGCCTTAGAGATCACGAGAAGGGAATTCCCTGTGAGGAATTGCATGAATAAAGGCACAGAGATGGAAGCCAAGAAATAGATTCAGGGGACTTTACCCAGTTGTACTGAAGTAATCGTACAAAGAAGTAGAGGGAGATAGAAAGGTACTTTACAGATTGTGGGCCAACAAAGAAAACCAGCGTCAAAGGGTTAGCCTTGATGCTGTAGGCATTAGGGTATTACTGGATATTTGTGAACTGAGTAAGCCCAGCTGGCCTTCTGTATCCTAAAATTCCACATCTACAAATTCAACTGTGGGTTGAAAATAGTCCAGAAAAAAGGAAAAACAATAATAAAATAGCAATACAACAGTAAAAAGTAATACAAATAGAAAAAAACAGTGTTAACAGCCATTTACATAGCATTTACATTGTATTAGGTATAAGTAATCTAGAGACACTTTAAAATACCTGGGAGGATGTGTCTAGAATAGATTATATGCAAATACTATGCCATTTTATATCAGGGACTTGAGCATATGGATTTTGGTGGCGGGGGGAGTAGTTCTGGAACCAGTCCCTTGTGGATAGTAAAGGAAGACTGTCCATTTCAAGGAGACATTTTGGAAGGTTGGTACAACAGTAGGCTAAGTGTTCTGTTAGAGCAGTGCGAGACCAGGGGAGGTGGGACGCCTGTGATAGTTAATCAGTTGTGAAGCAGCAGGAGCATGACTTGGGAGAGCAGCAGTGAGAACGGAGTGAAAAAGCAAATGAGGAAACTTGGCAAAGGAAAAATTAGAATCCAGAAAGCTTAGATATGGCCCTGCATAGAAAGCAGTGTGGTCAGAGGGGACCTGATTTTCTTCAGTCTTGCTTTGACTGGTAGTCCCATTGAAGAGAAGATGGGACGTCATGAGGTATAAGCTTGTAGGGGCTGGAGCAGGAGTGGTTAATGAACGTAGCTTTGCATGTGCTGATTCTTAAAGGAAACACAATATATTTAGTAGACTTATTCAGCTAGTATTTGGAGATTTTAGTCAAATTTAGAGACTGGAAAGCTGGAGATATAGACATGGTAAATACCCGTGGAGAGGGTCACAGCAGTGACATGAGGGCTTGAGGTGGATGTGAACAATGAGTAGTGCAAGCCAGGCTGCACATCCTCCCACACCTCTGTCCATTCATCTATCCATCCATCCACTCAGACTCATAGACAGGAAGGGAAGTGGAGCAGGAACTGCCTTGTAGAGGTAGTAACGTGGAAAAATGAAGAAAGCCTTCATTTTGGGAATTAGAAGGACATTGGTGATGATAAAGAATGCAATTTCATTCAAGACCAGTCTGAGCAAGAGACCCCATCTCTACTAAAAATAGAAAAATTAGCCAGGCATGGTGATGTGCGCCGATAGTCCCAGCTACTTGGGAGGCTGAGGCAGGAGGATCACTTGAGCCCAGGAGTTGGTGGTTGCTTTTAGCTATGATGATGCCACTGCACTGTAGACAGGGTGACAGAAAGAGACTCTGTCTCAAAAAAAAAAAAAAAAAACCAATTTCAGAAGAATATTGGTTCTATTTAAGGTTAGAGGAATTTGGGGAGATAGTGATAAGATATCTCATCAAAGTCCTAATTTCTTTTCTGTCCTGTTATTTTTGAGTAGGGACTTTCTAAGAGTTTAGGAAGCTTGACTGTTACACCTGGTATTGTACTGCCGGGCAGAATAAAATTTAGCATTTTTGACTAAAGAACCTAGATCCTTTAATATACCTCTGCCCATTGGGTACAGAGGAGATATAGCTGTGTGTGTGGTTCCAAGGCTAATTTTCTCAGAACCCTTTTTTGTTGGAGCATCTTACAGGACTGATGTTGTGCCAGAACATATTCTGCATTTTATACAGTTTTCTGACTTCTTCCACCACTCAGTCTAGAAAGGAGAGCTTTTAATAGGGAACTGCCCTGAGAAGGAAGCTACTCTCACTTGACTTAATTCTTTTTGTAGGAGGCACAAAGATAATCTTGAGGGATTTAGAACAGCTAAGTGCAATCCAGTTGAAATTGAGGGCGGGGAGGGTGATCGGAGTTCCCGATGGTGTTGGACAATGACGCACTAAATCTGTAGTATACAGCTAAATGTCGTGGTACTTAGCTGAGAGCAGATTTGGCCCTGAGTAAGGCTGTCCCCATATGCCGAAGCAATAGCATTTGAGATATGTAAACATTTTTTCCTAATCATTTTTATTACTTTCGTCTTAATTTTCTTAATAAAATATAATTAATAGATTGCAAGTTTTGAAAAGTAACATACTTCAACAAAATGAGTACGTTTTGAGGGGCATCAGGAATCCAATCGATATTAGGTAACCTTACTGTTGAGAAAATACCATGTTTTTTGGCAGTGCACTCATTTGTAGGTTATCGGAATTACACACACGCAGGCCACAGCAGATGCTAACAGTTAATTGCGTCGCTCCTTTGGCCACTTCCAGCATCTGTCGGAGGAAGGCACTCTGATGAAACCCTGTCTCCTGGCCTTGGTAAAACGATACATCGCATTATTCTCTGTCTTTCCCGAAAAGTATTTCAGGTCTAAAGACTCTCAATTCAGCTCTGATAATGGCAAACCCCCGAGTCAACACAATACCACTGTACATTGATGTGATCTTTGTCAATGACAACGCTCCAGCCTTTCCCAGGGGCAACTACAGTGATTAATCCAGTATGCCTGGCTGCCTGTCGCTGCACGCGGACTGGAATCCTTTTGAAATGAGCTCGTTCTCTCGGCCTCAGTTGTGGTTGAAATATCTTTCTTTTCCAAAGACTTTCTTATAGAAAATGGAAAAGTAAGTTAGAGGAGTCTCCATCAATATTAAAAGGAGAGCGTTTTCAAGATGCAACCAAGCTTTTATCTCTCCTTTTGAGATAGTCTCAGTCTGAGATCAGTGAGAGCTTGTTTCTTAATCACAATCACTTCTGTTGCTGCTGTTGCCTTCCTGCTTGCTGCGCCCTCTTGACCTTCTTCTTCCTCCCACTCCTCCTCCACCCATTGTCCTCCCCTTTCTCCCCTCCCTCTCCCCCTCTCTCTTCCTTTCAGATAGAGCAGCAATAAGGCTTGTTTCTGTATATTTTATATAGAAACTCACATGTGTCTCTTACCTTATCAGTTGGTGGCATTGAAAGGTTTTGTGTTTGTTTGTTTTAATTTCGTGCAGGAAATAAGCCAGTGGGTTTAGTGTGTTGCAGCTAGGGACAGACAAGGATTTTCTCACAATGGCCCCCCCTTCTTCTTCACTATCGTGAGTGGAATGATGACAAAGCATTTGACATTGACCAGCAAGGCGTCCTGCTGACTTCAGCTGCCATAAAGAGGAAAGTGAAAGATCATTACTTGCTGCATGTAAGTATTAAAGTCTTTCTTTATGGTTTTATTGTGTATGATAGAGAAAGTTGCCCGCGTGTGGTTACCTCCATATTCGAGCAGCTATATTCATGAGAAAAACAATTTATACAATAGTGTCTTTGTTTTTTGCCTACTCCATTTTTATCCCATTTTATCCTTTGAAGGGTCTAATTATTCATTGGTTACTTTATCAAAGACATTGATGGAGCTGAATTTCAGTATGAGTTAGTTTAAGAGCTATAAAGAAGTGGATTTATCCTGTCCTTGATGTGCTTTTCATGGAAGAAATAGGTATCTAACAGTTGGTATTTTTCTTATAATTGAATGATATAAATGTATTTTATTAAGTTGTAACAATGGATATAGACAAAATGATTTTTTTTTTTCTTGTAGGTGACAGATAATGGAAGCCTCAGTTGTCCTCTTGACACACATTGACATTAGGGTGTATTGAGAAAGCATCTATCCTCCTGCAATTCTGCCCTGAGATATTTTCATTACTGCTTTGGAGAGAGGTACTCAGGGGTGGTTCTTGGGAGATTCATGCAACCGACCAAGACGTGTACGACACTTTAACCTACAGTCTCGATCCCCAAATGGACAACCTGTTCTCTGTCTCCAGCACAGGGGGTAAGCTGATAGCACACAAAAAGCTGGATATAGGGCAGTACCTTCTCAACGTCAGTGTAACAGACGGGAATTTACAGCAGTGGCTGACGTCACAGTACATATCAGACAAGAACCCAAGAGATGTTGAACCACACCATTGCTATCCGCTTTGCAATCTCACCCGGAGAGATTGTCGGTGACTACTGGCGCAACTTCCAGCGAGCTTTGCGAACTCTTGGGTGTGCGGAGGAACGACATACAGATTGTTAGTTTGCAGCCCTCTGAACTCATCCGCATCTGGATGTCTTACTCTTTGTAGAGAAATCGGGTAGTGCCCAGCTTCAACAAAACAGCTTCACACAAGATATTCTTCTGTGGCTGATATTGAGAAATCATTGGTGTTAGCATATTGAGTGTTCCAGAAACTCTGTGCAGGACTGGATTGCCCCTGGAAGTTCTGCGATGAAAAGGTGTCTGTAGATGAAAATGTAATGTCAACACACAGCACAGCCAGACTGAGTTTCGTGACTCCTCGCCACCACAGGACAGCTGTGTGTCTCTGCAAAGGTAATCCACGTTAGTATATGAACATACGTGTTACAGAGCACTTAATATACAGCCTTTGATGACTGCACATTAAAGATCATTTTCTTGATATTTTTGTTAATTATCTCTCCTCCTTCCCACTTTTCTTTAAAGAGGGAAAATGCCCCCCTGTCCACCTTGGATGTGAAGACAATCCATGCCCTGAGGGATCCGAATGTATCACTGATCCCAGAGAAGAGAAATACACCTGTGTCTGCCCTGGAGGCAAGTTTGGTCAGTGCGCAGGTGAGAGTTTAATGATTTTCTTTTATTATTAAAAAAAAAAATCACTTTTATTATTTTTTATAATTTTCATCTTTGAGTCAAAAAATACTGCAAAGTATGTTTATTATAACAATTCAGATGTAGGTCTGAATAATGATAATAGTAACATTTCTTTCCTCTTTTATAACAGCATACCCCTTAGTTCATAGTTTCATTAATGTTTATATCAACATAGCTAAATAGATAGCCTTGTGGGTTGTGGTTTATTTTTCCTTTTTCTCATCTTCCTTTTTTTAAAAAAAAAAAGAAAAGAAAACCTTAAGACTGTCATGTCTCACACAGTCCTCTACCTTTGGCTTTTTTCCTCCGCTTGGCAGTACATTAAGGACATCCTACCAAGCCAGTACATGTCACCCTAAATCTTATTAATAGCTGGACGGTATTTTCTAGCATGGCTATATTATCATTTAGTCAATATTTTCTTTATGTATAAAGATGCAAGTTCTTATGTTTCTTTCTGTTAAAAAATCTTTATGCATGTGTCTTTACATATTAGTGCTTTCAAATCTATATAATAGATTCTTTCTTAATCTAGGGTTTTCTTTGTCAAAGATTAACTACATTTTAGATTTTTAAAGATATCATTATGTTAGTTTCCCAAAAAGTTGTACCAATTCCTATTTCTTCCAGTCACATATGAAGGTTTCATTCTCACCATTCTCTTGTCAGTATTGAAAATTTCCCATTAAAAAATGAATTCCTACCTCCATGTAATGGACATAAAAATGAATCTAATTATTATTTTAATTTGCATTTTTCTGGCTACTTGTGAAAATTGTCTTTTTGTTTGTCCATTGCCTGTTAGCATTTATTCTTATGTGGCTTGCTTGTCCATATTGTTTGTTTAATTGTCTGGATTATTCGTCTGTTTCTTAGTATCAATGCGTAGAGTTATTTTTCCTTTGTATGTTACTGATCTTTCAATTTGTTAAATGTATCTTTTGTCATTTCGAAATCTAATTTTTATTTAGTCAATTCTACATAATTACATAACAATTTCCATCTCTGGGGATTGATACCATTTTCATCTTTGAGGGGATCAGGATTGTTTATATTTTGCTTAAGAAGTTTTCTCAAACCACCTTGAGGGCTATGTAACTATTTTCTGAAGGTGTCTTCTACTAACTTCTTACTGAACATTTTTATATTTAGATCTTTCATTTTAGAGTTACTTTCCCTGTGATGTAGTAGCCTAATTTATTCTTTTCCAAATAGAGAGCCAGTTATGCTGTGTTATTTATTAAGCAAATTGACATCTTTCCTTGGAATTGAATTTTACAATGTTATAATTCTTAAATATAAACTTAGACCAGTCTCAGGGGGTGAGGTAGAAATTATGCTTTTAAAAATATGCTTAAACTTGGTTCTGATTTATTTTTCCCTCTTTGTGATTCACAGGGAGTTCATCTATAACATTTACTGGAAACAGCTTCGTGAAATACCGTCTAATGGAAAATGAAAACAAACTAGAGATGAAATTGTCAATGAGGCTCAGAACCTATTCTGCTCATGCAGTTGTAATGTATGCTCGAGGAACTGACTACAGTATCTTGGAGGTACGTGTTTATATAGTTTTATACCTCAGGTTATAGAAGACTTTAAAAATACAAATTCCATTTTATGTTCAGATTGTCCATTAAAAAAACAATAAAGTAGGTGAAATGGTTGAATTCCACATTTAAATAGTTCATTAATACCTATACATACAAGTTCTAGACTTTGTGGGATGAAGAGCTAGCTGTCTTTATGCTCTGGAATGACATAGAGACTTAGCTCTGTTTTTTATAAACATTTTTAGGTATGTGACAACATTCAAACTATAGATGATATTATATCTTAATAACAGAGAGAGTTCATAGAGACATCCTATATATGCTTGAAGTGGTAATTATCTTGCCTGCTTTCTGTTTCTTTTTTAAACGTAATTCAGTTTTGACTTTTGATATTACCTGATGCTCTGTATATGTGGGTTCAGCTAGTTATTAGTCACTTCCATGATGCTTTTTGGATGTGCATTGACACTTGAACTTGATATACCTAAAGGATACGTTTTTATTATTTGTGCAGTGGACAAATGGGTATGTTCTCTGTTGTACTTAAATGCAAGACTTCATTCTTTTTACCGTCATTCTCCAAACATACCTCTTCTATAGATTTTTAATAATTGCAGGTTCTGTAAGAGTGATGTAAACAGTAATTGTTTTTATCATAGATTCATAATGGACGACTGCAATACAAATTTGACTGTGGAAGTGGCCCTGGAATTGTCTCTGTTCAAAGCATTCAGGTCAACGATGGACAGTGGCATGCAGTGTCTCTTGAAGTGAATGGAAACTATGCTAGATTGGTTCTAGACCAAGTTCACACCGCATCAGGCACAGCCCCAGGGACACTGAAAACTCTGAACCTGGATAACTATGTGTTTTTTGGTGGCCATATCCGTCAGCAAGGAACAAGGCATGGAAGAAGCCCCCAAGTTGGTAATGGGTTCAGGGGTTGTATGGACTCCATTTATTTGAATGGGCAGGAGCTCCCTTTAAATAGCAAACCAAGAAGCTATGCACACATTGAAGAGTCAGTGGATGTATCTCCTGGGTGCCTACTAACAGCTACAGAAGACTGCTCAAGTAACCCTTGTCAGAATGGAGGCATTTGCAATCCATCACCTAACGGAGGTAGGCTTCACAGTGTTTTAATCTTTAAAATGTCATATTTGCATGCACTTAAGAGGAATTTCCCCAAATATTTTTGGTTTTTTATTCAAATAATACTGTCAGATATTGCAGTCAGTGTTGGAATCCAATAGTATATATATTTTAAGAGAACAGAGCAGGGCTTCAGATTCTTCCCAGCGGCAAGGCTGAAGAAACAGTTTCTCTGACTGCTGAGCGTCTGCAGCCGCATCTCAGGCGCGTGAGCAGGATATGTTTCTATAAACGTCTCGTTCTGCACCAGTCACCGCAGGCGAACCACAGCTAACAACGCACTCTTCTTCCAACTCCTCAGTTGATCCAGGGGAATTTAGAATTAGTACTGCTTAGTTCTTCTCGGTTCTTTTTTTATGCAATAGTTCAACACCGAGGGACTGCTAGAGTCTTGCTAGCAGTAAGAGATGGGAGTGTGACTTGCCAGAAGGCCTTGAACCCCTGCTGAAGTGTTGCCGTACCTGTCTGTTTTGAAGCCCTGGCTCAGTGGGGTACTCTGTGGCTTTTATATCCTAGACTCCTTTCAGGCCACTTACCAGTAATAGAATATAGTTAGGAAAATAGCAATCGTGCCAAATAGAGCTTAGTATAACTAATAGAGAAAAAAAATCAAGTAGTTTACTTAAGTGAGATTTCAAAAGGTTTGGTTTTCTACTATTTTCTTTGGAAAGTGTGTTGTATGCATACCATGTGTGTAGAGTAGGCCACGTTATTCCCACAATAACACTCTGAAAATCTCAGTGGCATAACACAAGAAAAGGTTAGGGATGAAGCTAAGAGAGGCATTTTCTTGAAATGTGCTACCATGATCTCCAAAGCAGGAGGAAAGGAACGTGGCAGCCGCACACTGGCTCCTAAAGCCCTAAGCCCGGCAGGCTGCATTTCTTTGGCCAAAAAAAAGTACCGTGGGAAGCACCATGTTGCCGCATTTCCCAAAGACAGACAGATAGTTGGAAATGGTCTGCTGCTCTGCCTGCAGCCTTCATGAAATAGAATTGATTCGGACAAATGTGATGATCTCCTTTCTTACATATACTGAATGATCTCCTTTTTTAAATGAATGGTAATTTATAGTCTTCTAAGTGCTTTCCACATTCATTATCATCTCATTTAATCCTTGAATGCTTGTGAGCATTGAATTTGAGATGTTAAGTAGTGTTGTCTCTGTACTTGGTCCCTCAAATAGAGAACTGTTTTTTTCCTTCTATGCTTGACCCAGTCATCCTAAATAAACTGTGATGAGCTAAAGTTAAGTCAGTTCTGTCTTTAATTCTTTGTGCTTTGAGTATACCAGCAGTGGAAGGCTTGTTGATGGAGACAACTTTCTACCCAGAGAGAGTGGGAATTTCACTAGCTTTTACAGATCTTGGACAATTAACTCTTTCTTTAAACATAACTTAAAGGATAAAAACCGATATAATAAGACTGTTCTTTGAGTTATGAATGATATGACGTTTTTATTCCTTTTTGCCCATTTAGGTTATTACTGCAAATGCAGTGCCTTACACATAGGGACGTACTGTGAGGTGAGCGTCAATCCGTGTTCCTCCAATCCATGCCTCTATGGAGGGACATGCATTGTAGACAATGGAGACTTTATTTGCCAGTGTAGAGGATTATATACTGGTCAGAGGTATGTATATTTTCACTAATTTTCATAATTGTAGTATGAAATTTTTAAACATATAATTGTACATGTAAAAAGCCTCTACATTCTTTTGTTAATGTTTTCCATTCTGCTATGTTTAGCTGCAGTAGGATCATGGGGTTTATGCTTATTTTTCCTTATTCTTCAGGTGCCAGCTTAGTCCATACTGCAAAGATGAGCCCTGTAAAAATGGTGGAACTTGTTTTGACAGTTTGGATGGTGCTGTTTGTCAGTGTGATTCAGGTTTTAGGGGAGAAAGGTAAATGGTTTTTTCAAAATTTATATTTGTACCTTGCTGTAGTGTCGTATTGATTAATTAGCAGATGCAACAACACTTCATTAATTTGGATTATGTTGCTTCAAATTTTGATAATCCTCATATTGGCTCTTTATATAATTTATCTCTTCACTCGAAAACAAAAAGAAAATATCAAGCAGATGAATGTAATGTAAATTGAAACTTGAAAAATCTACTTCTGTATTTTGCAGCTGTTAATTTATAAACAACATATGGGTTTCTGGCAGGCAGCAAATGTTGGTGCAATGAGTAGAATGATGATTTGTCTTTAAAGCAGGCACCTGTGGGTCTGTACCCATTCACCTTTGAGGGTGACGATGATGACTTTTTTCATAATATGCTATAACTAACGTTTATAGAGCATCTACAAATCTTTTTCAACTCTTATTATTGTTGGTAATCCTTACCATGATCCTAAGAGGTGGTTATTATTTTCCAAATGAAAAAATGAGGCATGGGGGAGCCTTTTGTATACATTGAAAGGGGAGTGGATGAGAGATTTTAGTTCGAGATGCCATTTTACCTTAGACTTTCACCAGTTAGGTTAAAAACGTTCCTCAGTGCATGTTATCCCGGCCTAGTGCAGCACACTGAGAGAAACTCTCACCATCAGTCTTACTACAAGGCCTTTGGTGACCTGCCTACAGGTATCCATGCAGTTTTGCTCTGGTAATGGCTGCAACCCAGAATTTTGCCATCAGTCATATCACCTTAGTTCATAAGTTGACTTTCCTAATTCTAGTCGATGAATACTCTTAATATATTTGACAAAAACCTATTGGTAAACAGAATTTTCATACCAGGTGAGTATGAGGGATAGTAAATAGATAAGTTTTACTAAAGGAAGAGAGGGGGAAGGGTTTGAGAAGTAGCAGGTAGATCTGCACAGGTGGAAAATATATCCCTGTTTGGAAAGGCAGAAGGGCCTTGCTTATGAATTGTTCTGGAAAGGTGAGGAGCCCAGGAAGGTTTTCAACAGGAAGTAACACTTTAAAGTAGAAAACATGGAGTTTTCTGTCCTTTCACACGTGTTACAGAACTGTCATATTCCCAAACAGGACCATTTTCTTAGAAATTTTTCATCCAGCCTATTGGAAGAATTTACCGTATACCATCTAACAAACTGATGTTTAACCAGTGAGGTTGATTTCGTAGTCTGTTGCAATCTAGAAAAATGGCTGTTAAATATTGGCTTGATACATTTGTCTCCCAAATATACATTGAAAACATGTGATCAAATGATTACTCTACAGAAGATTTTCTGTTGTTATTTATTGTTTGATAATTATGTTTTCTAGTTGTTTTATATTTGGTTTTGTTTTTGGCATATCTTGCTAAGGATGGGTTAGTCTTTCATGTGTAAGGATTTTAGGCCTGGCATATTCTGATGTATTTGCAAAAGTCTCTCCTCATTCTTGGCTTTCTTGGCAGGTGTCAGAGTGACATTGACGAATGTGCTGGAAACCCGTGCCGGAACGGAGCCCTTTGTGAGAATACGCATGGCTCCTATCACTGCAACTGCAGCCACGAGTACAGGGGGAAACACTGCGAGGATGCTGCTCCCAATGAATATGTGTCCACTCCATGGAATATTGGACTGGCAGAAGGAATTGGAATTATTGTTTTTATAGCAGGGATATTTTTACTGGTGGTGATATTTGTCCTCTGCCGCAAGATGATTAGTCGAAAGAAGAAACACCAGGCTGAACCTGAAGACAAACACTTGGGACCAACCACAGCTTTCCTGCAAAGGCCGTATTTTGATTCAAAATTAAATAAGAACATTTACTCTGACATACCACCCCAGGTGCCTGTCCGTCCTATTTCCTACACTCCAAGCATTCCAAGTGACTCTAGAAACAATCTTGACCGAAATTCCTTTGAAGGATCTGCTATCCCAGAGCATCCCGAATTCAGTACTTTTAACCCTGAGTCTGTGCACGGACACCGAAAAGCTGTGGCTGTCTGCAGCGTGGCCCCAAACCTGCCTCCCCCTCCGCCTTCTAACTCCCCTTCTGACAGTGACTCCATCCAGAAGCCTAGCTGGGACTTTGACTATGACAGTAAGAGCAACTTTTTCATCTCACTATAATGCCAGAGAAACAGTGAGGTTGCAAGTTCTGCCAGAGCTGCTGGGGTTCAAGTCAAAATGTGGAATCTCTGTTAGACATAAATATACTCAAAATATGAAATCCCTATTCTGATTTGAAACGTTTTTGGATGTATTGAGTGCTGGCTTAGCATTGTGCCTGTGATATTTTAATTAAGGAATTTAGTCATGTTTCAGTTAATATTCTAGAGAGATCATTTCATTTTATAATGCATATAGCTTCTCAACTATAATTTTTTGAGCTTATGACAAAAAAATAATTAGAAATGGGATGTTTTCATGCTAGGAGTTTTTTGGTTTTTTTTTAATATGCCCAGAGAAAGTGGAGGTATTTCTGTCAGTGGCCTAACATATATTTTATGCTTTAAAAAAAAACAAACAACTATATATGACATTTTAAAACAAAATTTTTATCCCCTTTATTATCTGATGATATCCATAGGCATGTTTATGGAGAATTTCTGTTCTATGAGTCTCCAAGAATATATGTAGGGTTTGTTTGTTTGCATGGGAAGAGTGTGTGTTTGTTTTTAAGATGTTTCTCTCTTTCAATCTTTATTAAACCAAGCTCAGACCATTGGTTCAGTAATGGTTGCTTTGTATCAGAACACAGCAGTAAATGGAACAGTCTTGGCCCTCGTGGAACTTCATGTTTGCCTGTCGTCTCTTCCTTTTAGCTAAAGTGGTGGATCTTGATCCCTGTCTTTCCAAGAAACCTCTGGAGGAAAAGCCCTCTCAGCCGTACAGTGCCCGGGAAAGCCTGTCTGAGGTGCAGTCCCTGAGCTCCTTCCAGTCTGAGTCATGCGATGACAATGGTGAGTCAAAGGGATGTTGAAATGCTGTGGTTCGCTTGCTCATTGTGCACCATGCTGCTCACAGTCTTGTGTCACAGTCCACATGCACGAGGTCAGTCCCCTTATTAAGTCTCCACGTATTTTCTTATTTCCCTTGGACCACTTTTAAGCAGTACTGTGTACATATTTGCATGAACATCTGCTGGGGAAAATACTTAAAGTGTTCTTAATGAATAGGTGTTTGGAACTATCGCCACTTGTCAGTAATAGGGAAGAACATACAGTTAATTGAAAGATAATTTCTGATTGATCTTGTGTTGACTTTTTTGCACAACTGTAAATGTTGTGGAAGTTTTGTGGGATTTTCAAAAATCCTTGTAACAGTTTTCTTGACTACACAATATATACACTCTCACACGTGCTCTAAGAAGAGATGTGATAGTCTGAAATGTTCAATCTCAGTAGCACCTCTGGTATTACAAGGTTTTATTTGTCTCTTCCAACCCTACTGCGGCCCCAGCTCCCATTTGGATCAGAGCGTACTGACTGAGAGCACAGTTTAAGAGATTGCTAGTAAGTTTGATTATATTTCTAATGAAGAAAGTTTGACAGTGGGATCTTTGGCATCAGTTATGTTTGTCTGATTACATAAGGTAAATTACATCGATAGCTAGCTTTACCATATTAACACACACCAGTAGGGAGAATTATCAATATTAAGTAACACAAAGTAAATTTCTGCAGAAATTTTTGAATCTCAGAATTAGTAAGTTTAATGGTAATTTTTTTCTTGCATAGAAATATAATGTGTTTCCATATCTCAAATATTTTATTGATAGAAAGAAGTAACCCACTAATAATTATTTGGTCTCGAGTAATATAGTCCATGATACATTACATATATATAGTCGTGAGTCCATGATACATTGCAGAGTCCTTTGCCAAACCAAAGATGGCATAAGTATATTCCATTCCTTCTGATTTCAAGCATGTTATATATATAATATCAAAGTATACCTGTGTTTATTAGTAATGTAGTATATGGGTATAGCTTTACTTGTTAAACCAACAAGAAGAAGAATTATTTCTTTCATTAGTTTTAATTCTAAGAAGTTCCTGTTTCCAGTTTATGTAATAATTTATATCTGGGCCCCTGAATGTTCTTCATAAATACATTCAGAATTTTGTCAGTTTTTTTTTCTTTTCGTAGTTCCTTTTTTTGAAATATCATTCTTTTTAATAATACTCCTGAGTGCTTGTAATAAGTTATAGCCAATTTAGTTATGAAAATTAATTGCCAGATAACACAGTGTGTGGAAAAAACATATATACAGAGTTCTTATTATATTTTAATCGTTATAATTTAATCATTATCAGTCTTAAAATTTGTTGAGAGTCTGTACTTGCATTGTATTACTAGTTTGCTAAGGCTGTTGTAATAGATAAACCACAAACTTCGTGGCTTAAAACAACATAGATTTATCTTTTTATAGTTCTGTAGTTTAGGAGTCCAGCATGTGTGTTTCACTAAAATCAAGCTATCAGTGGTACTGCATTTCCTTCTGCAAACTCAAGGGAAAAATCTGTTCCCTTAACCTTTCCCAGTTTCTACAGGTATCCACATTCTTTGGCATGTGGCTTCTACCTTTCAAAGACAGCAACATGGCATTTCACTGATTATTCCTACGTCACATTAGCTCCCTCCAAGAGCTGAGACAGATTTTCCCCTTTTAGGTCACCCTGATAATTTGAAAGTCTCCAGGTCCTTAATTACACCAACAAACTCCCTTTTGCTGTGTATGGTGACAGGGTCACAGGCTCCCAGGATTAGGACATGGACATATTTGAGGGCCATCCTTCTGCTCACCACATGCACACGTATTTTCCTTGGCATAGGTACTTTAAAATAGTCTGATACACAAATGACAAAGGAATTTACACTAGAAACAGCCAAACAGTGTGTACTTCTCTGTTCACCAGCTATTCGTCTGTTTGCAAAAAGACAAGAAATTTGCAACAGGAGCAAATAGGGCAGGGACAAACCATATTGTCTTCATATTGCATATGTATCTCCTCAAATTTGTTTTTTCTGGGGACAATGTATGAATTCATTAAATGGAGCCAGAAGGGTGGCTTGCCAAGGATTTTACTCTTTGAAGTAAAGTCTTCAAAGCCCATGAGATGTTATAAAATAAGACTTATTTTGACCTGCCACAATCCACAGTTGTTATTGTGAAAAACTTCATAACTAAAAAATGTTTTCCTAAATTCCAATAAAATATGGTTACTTTATTCCTTCAATTAATAATAACAGATATATAGCTTGATTAGAAAAGTCTCTGAGACATGTCACTGTCAGAGTGCAGGAGTCATGTATGATGAATGATATTATATAGTTATATTAAAGCCCTGACTTCACCTTTCTAAGTTTTGAGGTAGGAATTGTATAATATAAAGAAATTCTGTTTCATGCACTGTTTTCTAAAGATTTTTAGAAGGAATTGTATAATATAAAGAAATTCTGTTTCATGCACTGTTTTCTAGAAGATTTTCCTAATTGACTCCTTTTGTACCTTTTTACAAGCTTCCATAGTGACTGTAATACACCTTGTCAATGCTGTAGTTGACACGGTGAATAAAGAAGGTATAGTCATAAATGCTTGAGCTTTGTGTTTGTGTTTTTTATTGACTGTGCCACTAGAGTACTGTGCTTATGCCTGTTGTAATGTTATACAAAATAATTTGTGGTTCTGTGGGGGTTGAGTACTTTTATTTTGTGTAGGTGTGTATATTCATAATACCAGTATATTACAAAAATATTTCTTTATATGTATGTCTTTTTGTTACTTTTTCCCATTTGTAGTGATTCACATAGACATCCAAAGGTACCCCTAGGATCTTTAAGATTTATCTTTATGTGGTACAATATAAAGAAGTTAATTGTAACTACCTAAAATTTCATTTAATATAAGAAATCCTCTTCATAATAATATCACAAAGTTTTTATAATTACCTATAACTTATTGTTCACTTTTGTTTTTCCCTTAATATGATCAAAGAAAATGGGGGAACATGGCAGAAGTGTATTTTCATATTTGGTTTAGTGTAAATCATTTAATGTGAGGCATTATCTGTTTGAAATTTTAAGAAAAAACCATCTCCCTCAAATTATTTTAAGTTAAATTAGTCCTTTGTTAGTGCACAGAAATTGGGAGTAATCACATGTGAAAGGCATGGGCAAGTAGTTTTCAAACTGTAATCCAAATCAGATCCCTGGAGGGTGTGTTAAAAGTCTAATTTCTAGTTCCCAGCACCAGAGTTTCTGATCCAGTAGGTCTGGGTTGGGCCTTGAGAGTTTGCATTTTTAACAAGTCCCCAGTTCTGATTTTCCTGGTCTAGGGAATCACGTTTCCAGAGCTACTTGCATAGACCATCAGGAGTAGGGATGTTATCACCAGACAGCTCCGGGGATGTTTTTTACTAAGACATACACGCTGTCGAGATTTAAGTGGGAAGAAAGAAAGGTTTTTTGCAGACGTGATGGGCCAGGGCTCGGTGCCAGTGCTAATCAGAGTTACTGGTGAGGCTTACGCTTATTTTCTTGAGAAGGACCATGTTTTTTCCTCAGTGAATCAGGAAGTTATCTGTGTTTTGTCTAGTGAATTTTAGTTTTAACTTGATGACCTTCCAACATTTTAAGCATTATTGGAGTTTAAAGAAGCAGAATTTAAACAGCTCCTCATTGCAATCTCCTTCATCAAAAAATACTTTTTTGGCATATCCAAGAAGTATAACTTTAAAGTTGAAAGCTAGCTTAAATGTTAAGAATTATCAAGCGCCTATTTAATAACAAAAGCTGATTTTTTTAAGGGAATTACTACTTTTTTTGTTAGACTCTTTAAAAGTTCTGTTGATGTTAGTTTATACATTTTTTTAGAACCACAGCCTCTTCAGTTTTTTATTTAAATTTCTGGCAGAGAAGTATCAATCAAATATTATTTGTTCTAAATCGGTTTATTCTGTGTGTCTTCGAGAACATTATAGAATGCATAGAAGGCATTGGCCTTGATTAGCAAATCACTGAAGTGACCATATTTCTACCATGATTTCCACTTTGACAATTATTAGCGGTACCTAGTAGTTAGTGCTTGCCTTGCGTCATCTTGGTTAGTCCTCGTAACAACTCTAAGGGATTTTCACCCCATTTCAAAGAGGGAACCTGAAGCATAGCCCAGGTGGATGTCAGTGGCCCTGGCTGGTGGTGGCTTTGCGTGCACATCTTCTGCCTCATGCAAGCCTTGCAGATGAGGGAGAGGCCCTGCAGAGCAAGTGTGGTTTCAGTTTGGGAAGGAGTAAATGAGGCCAGTGCTCTCTTTAGGGAAGGGTTAACAGTGTAAATATAAAATCATACTCAAAATGGATAAGATCTGGAGAGATTTTTCAGCTTTTAGTCTATCTTTAAGTATCTAAGTTCTTGAATTTCTCTGAATTCGATGTATTTTTGAAGGTTGTAATGTGTAAAGAATGTGTACATTGTGTAGCTTCAGGTGTATTTGGATTATCACTCTAGTAACCTGACTAATTTACATTTTATTAGAGCCTGTAGGTTTTATTTTAATTATTCCTAGGAAAATTCTGTTTTCAGCTTTAGATTATCAGAAACAACGAAAAGAAAGTAAAATAATATTTGAGTTTTCTGATGAAGTCTCTAGGTCATTTCCCATCTTTTCCCTCCACTTCCATTTTATTTGTGCTACATAAATTTCTCAGCCATTTGGAATTTTCATAGATAATGGCTTAAAGACATGGTATATGGCTGACTGCGCCTTGATAAACAGTTTACATTGTACTGTGTACTTGCTGTTATTGCCTTTCAGCCGTCATCTGTTTTAATTATGAATGTTTTCTTTTCTTTCTACTCTGCCACCAAAAGAATCTTTGGCTGCTCCTGACCTCAGCAAACCAAGAGGTGACTTATGCATGCCAGTTGTTCATTTATACTCACTAAAAACAATTGGTAAAGATGTGGCCTGGGGCTGACTTGCTTCACTGGGTTGCTCAGTGTTTGCAGCAGTAACTGCGTACATGATTGTGTTTGCCCGCTGCATTCTAAACACGTACTGCTTAACCTTTTCCTATCTGCCAAAGGATTTAAATAATCCTAAGGAGGAAAAAAAAAACTGTTCCTAAATTGGAAGGTTTTTTTTTTAATAGTGATGCTTTTGTATAGTCTAAAATGATCCCTAGCCCTTTTAGAAGTAACAAAGATGGACTGTTATAGTCTATCAAAAACTGTGTTATACCTTGCAGTGCTTGTTTGATTGCATTTTGCTTGATTTAGAGGCATGCTTTGATATGTAGCTATGTTAAGGCAATCTGTTGTCTTACTTAGAGCTAATGGAAAATAGTAGTTTTTAATGTTAACTATATTGCATTATTGTGAAGAAAGTTTGTTTCCTAAATTTTAGCATGCTAAAGGTTACTTTTATTATTTTTAAAAGTTGCATTCATTAGGTTTTTTTAATGACAAGTAGTGCAGACCAAGTAACATTTGATATTTTACTTGGTACAGACTCCTCCTTTCTGAAGGACAAAACTTATTTACTAATGTCCTAAGACAGAACTAACACTCTTCTTCATAGAGAGCAATGGGCTCTAAATTACAGAAGAAAAGTTGAAAAGATGATTGGAATCATTTGTAGAAAGACACATATAATATAGATGCTCATACTGCTAGAACTGTTAGGACTCTGTTTCCTTGAATGTTAGGTGTGTACATAAAACCCTAAGTGCACACTTCAGAATTAGCATAAAACCCTAAGTGCACACTTCAGAATTAGCGCCTGGTTCATAGAGGCCTTAAAACTGGGCCGGGTGGAGGGATGGCTTCAAATCAGAGACAAAGGGTTTCCAAAGTGATGGACTTGGAATGAAGTCATAAATGCATTTGTGTCTTTGTGTCTTTGATACGCTGAGCTCTCTTTCCATGACAGAAGAGCTCAGGAGGAAACACACTGAAATCTCTTGTTTTCTCTTCCATCAAGGCTATCACTGGGATACGTCAGACTGGATGCCGAGTGTTCCTCTGCCCGATATACAAGAATTCCCCAATTACGAAGTTATTGATGAGCAGACACCCCTGTACTCAGCAGATCCAAATGCCATCGATACAGACTATTATCCTGGAGGTTACGACATTGAAAGTGACTTCCCGCCACCGCCGGAGGACTTCCCTGCACCTGATGAACTGCCGCCATTGCCTCCGGAATTCAGCGATCAGTTTGAATCCATACACCCTCCCAGAGACATGCCTGCTGCAGGTAGCTTGGGCTCTTCGTCGAGAAACCGGCAGAGGTTCAACCTGAATCAGTATTTGCCCAGTTTCTACCCCATCGATATGTCTGAACCTCTAACAAAAGGCACTGGTGAGAATAGTACTTGTAGAGAACCCTACGCCCCTTACCCTCCAGGGCATCAAAGAAACTTCGAAGCCCCCACTGTAGAAAACCTGCCCATGTCTGTGTACGCTTCCACAGCTTCCTGCTCCGACGTGTCGGCCTGCTGCGAAGTGGAGTCTGAGGTCATGATGAGTGACTATGAGAGTGGGGACGATGGCCACTTTGAAGAGGTGACCGTCCCTCCGCTGGACTCCCAGCAGCACACGGAAGTCTGACGCTCAACTCCCCCCAAAGTGCCTGGACTTTAATGAACCTAGAGATTATATAAGTAACCCTGTGCATTGTTCTTTGCGGCAGTGCTTAAGCGCTTTTTCTTGGTGAGCTGAGATGGGCATGGCTGCACCGGCTCCCACGCCTCTTGACATTAGCCATTTCCAGTGTCCTAACCTACTGTAACCGGATGAGGTTGTCCTTGGGCTGTGCCATTTCTAAACATCTTTTGGTATTTACGTTTGTCTGTGTTAAAATAATGAAACGAAAATCAGTCCTACCATCTTGTTAGCATGATTCATGTATTTATATAGATTTGATTATTTTAATTTTCCTGTCTTTTTTTTTGTAAATTTTATGTACAGATTTGATTTTTCATAGTTTTAACTAGATTTTCAAGATATTTTTTGTGCATTTGTTTTAAACTGAATTTTGGTGGTGTTAGTGCCATTACCTAGCACCCTGATTTTTTAATATAACCAGGGTTTCACTGTATGTCTTTTTCCACAGAAGTATATTTCATTAATACATTTCAATATAGTCATTCATTTCTAGCTGTACATAGAATGAGGAAAGATCTGATACATGGACATGTCTTACTGTATTTTAGAATTATAAACATTTTTCATTATTGGAAAGTGTAATGGGGACCTTCTGCATACCTGTTTAGTACCAAAACCACCATGACACAGTTTTTATAGTGTCTGTATATTTGTGATGCAATGGTCTTGTAAAGGTTTTTACTGAAAACTATCATTAGCCAGTCTTTCTTACTGACAATAAATTATTAATAAAATACTTTAGCTTTACTGCCTGTTTTTCCTCTGTATTATACTCCTGTTCAGGATTCAGTTGCTGAATTGAGACAGAAGGGTGGATGTATGAATGGAAGGGTGGATATAGATATATTAGTGGATAGTGGCTTAAATGTGAAAAATCCTCTTTCCAGGTGCCAGTCAGACTGTAGATGCAGATGTAGCCACTAGGTGGCAGTATATGGCTACTTGATACTGTTCAAAACTGTAGATAACAAGGTAAACATTGTAACTTTTTTATAATAAATATTTTCTAACTAAAACTTTAAGAAAATTTTTCTTTATATACTTTTAACTTATTAGTATTTATTGGCTGCAATTTAAATGCTTCTATATTTTTCACCTTTATCAGTGATTTATATCAAAAACAAAGTCTTATGAAGCATTTTATCTTAAAAACACGTACTGTAAGATTGAGTGTGAAATCCAGAAGCTATTTCCCTTGTGTTTTTATACAGTCAAAATCCATCGATATAGCCAACATATTTATTGAATTCTAAAAATATGCTAATCATTATGATATAAATGACAACAAATCAAGCTTTTTGGAACTTTGGAAAGATAGCTTTACTTTTTATCAAATAATATATATACATAGTTTCATACATATAACAAAATAGCAGTTCCATGCACTCTACCCACTTACAGCTCTTCAAGCTGTTTTGTTCATACTTCCTTTCATATTTTCAAATGTATAAATTATTTTTCCTGAGTCAGTAAAGTTAGCAATTGCCTATTGACTCTGTATGATGTTGGAGGAAGACCATATAACCTAACAAATCTTTGTCGCTCGTGTTATCTTACCATTAGTTACAGCATCATTTTCAGATTAGTCCATATGCAATGTTTGCAGTATCGATTGTGTAAGTGTTCACTGCTGAGCTAAGTAGCGAATGACATTTATTTCGATTTACTTTGCAGCCTTCTCTTTTTCTTAAACAATTAATTGCCTTGATTTTTATTTTACTTATTTTTTAAAACTTTTGACTATTTCATTCATTTATTCAAAAATATTTTTTGGTCACCTACTATGTATTGTTTCACACTAACAGACATATCAGTTCTCTGCCGCCTTGCCCCTTACATTTGGTGAGTGCAGATGGCAGGAGGAGATAATTGGTAAATAAGATAACAGTAGTGTATGGAGTAGTGAGTACCGAGGACAGAAGTTGTGATTTAGGAAGGAATGTGTGTGATGGGGAGGGCCGGGAGGCCTCGGTGACAAGCCGACATTTGAGTCAAATCCTCAAGTAGATGAGGGAGAACACCACGTGGTTCCCTGGAGGTTGGAGCGTGACTAGGAAGTCAAGAAAAAGAGAAGAGACAGGTGTGGCCTCTCATGGAAATGCCTCTTAGGACATGTTTAGTGCTATTGGAAAACTGTCAGGTCCTTTTCTTGCCTTTGGCCATTCCCCTCAGGGAGCCCTTCTCCCTGGTGGCTGTTCCCTTGAACATCTGCACAGCTGCGTTGCGGGATTCCCCTTGTTGTTATCCTGAATATTCCCCTTACTGTGGATCCAAACTTTCTCTGGGCTTCACTCTTGTTTGGATGGAGCACATCCTCCTGTTCTTTTCTGAGAAACAGTGCTTGGGAAGTAATTTTCGTGACTTTGTGTTCCTGAAGATGTCTGTATTCTACCCATGCTTGATTAATAGATTGGGTATAGATTTGTGATGTGGAGGTAAATTTCATTCATAATTTTGAAGTCATCAAACCACTGTCTTCTAGCTTCCAGTGTTGCCATTGAAATGTCCAACGTCATTCCTATTCCCAGGTTATTATTTGTGACCAAATATCACTCTCAGAAATCTTTTTGTGATTTTTCTTTTGGGGACATTCCTTTTCTCTCCAACATCGTGCGGTTTCCTGGTCATGTGTCCTGGTTGTGGGCCCTTCCCATTGCGCTGCTCGTCAAGGCGGAAACCCACACTGGGGAATGTCCTTTTGTTATTTCTTTGATAACTTCTTCCTCTCTGAATTCTCAGTTCTCTCTCTGAGACCCATAGCTGTTGGCTATTTGACTTGCTAAATCTATCCTTTTCTGATTGAATTCCTATTGTCCATCTTTGTCTTTTGTTCCACTGCCTAGGATTCACCCCACTTTTATCTTCCATTCTTTCTGTTAAAACATTTGATTCTGCTATCATTTTTAATTTTTAAGAGTTTGGTCTTCTTCTGATTGTTCCTTTTATGTAACATATGGTCATTTATTCCTGTTACTTTACCTCCCTAGTATCTCATTTTTTCTAGTGTTTTGTTTTTTTTTAAGCAGTCTTCCCATTTTGCCTAGTTTCCCTCTGAGTTTCTTTTTTTTTTAATATTCCTTCCCATGGGCCTTGGTCACATTCTCACTTGGAAAGCTTTCCTCTTGCTTGACTTCATGTCTAATGAGGCACTCTAGCTGGTGGAAAGCCGTGGGTGGTACTTGTCACCTGGTGGACTTCCTGTGACCTGGTGGGACAGCCAGCCTTCCTTGCTGATTTCTGTAGGTCTTTTCTGAAGAGTCTTTCTATTTCCAGCCTGGGAAATATTCTTGCTCTTATTTTAGAGTTGGCTATGGTTAAGGGGACTGGAGTTTTGTCATTGATTTAGTCCTCCAGCTCTGGATTAGGGAACATTCCTGCTTTCTGTTTGCCTATTGTCGCTGAGCCTGCTCAGGATAGAGCTGAGAATGCAGGGTCTGACAGCGTGAACACAACTGAAACAATGTCCCTGCGACTCCCGCCCCATCTTCTCCAGTGTGCAGAACAAGTTGGCCTGTTGCTGTTGGCTCTGACATCTGATGTCCTGCCCTAAGACGTGACTTACTGCTCCTTCTCCTGCACCTGCCATAGTGTGGTTTGGAGTTAACAGTACTTCTTGGTGGCATTGAAAGTGGAGTTATTTTTTAACTTTTCCCACCTTTTCCTGTTTTGGATTAATTTTCTTGTTTTAACATCAGGTTTTTTTTGTTTTGTTTTTAAAATTTTATTGGTGGATTGATTTTTCAAGAGACGAAAGGGGAAAGAAATGCAACACTCTGCCATCTTAAACTGGAAAGCTGGAATGTGCTCCTAGCCATTGGTTTCTGGTGTTTGGAGGAACTTTGGGATATTGGTTTTCTGTTGCTCCATAGCAAATTACCATAACGCCCACTTACTAGCTCTCATTCTGTAGATCAGAAGGCCAGGCCAGCGTGGCCACGTTCTCTGCTCAGGCTGAGTCTCACAAGGCTGAAAGCAACCTGTCAGGGAGGCTGTGTTTTCATCTGAGGCTCAGGGTCCTCCTCCAAGCACACATGGTTGTTGGCAGAATTCAGTTCCTTACAGTTGTAGAACTGAGGCCTCGTCTTCTTGCTAACTGTAGGACTGAGCTTCCCTCGCTCTTGCCAGCTGTCCTTGCTTTCTTGACAGCCTCGTCTCGACACAGGTCCTAGCTCCTTGGCCCGCTCACACCATGATAGTTTAACAAGAATTTCCCTCACGCTCGCCACCATGCCCGGCTAATATTTTTGTTTCTATTTTTAGTTGCTCAGCTAATTTTTTCTATTTTTAGTAGAGACAGGGGTCTCGATTTTGCTCAGGCTGGTCTTGAACTCCTGACCTCAAGTAATCCTCCCACCTAGGTTTCCAAACAAAGCAAAACTCTTGTCTCAAAAAAAAAAGAGAGAAAAGAATTTCCCAGGAGCTGCTGATCTTCCTGACCTGAGGGAGGGCCCAGTGCCTTTTTAAGGACTCATCCGATTAGGTCAGGTGACTCACCCAAGAGATAAAAATCTCCCTTTTGATGAAAAGTCAGCTGATTAGTAACCTCGTGGGAATTCCCATCACATTCACAAGTTACATGCACACTCGAGGGGAATTATACCATGCACCCCAGTAGGGGGAAGGCGGTTCTTTGGGGCCATCTTAGAATTTTACCTACCCAGATCAGCACTATTTGTTGTTTTTGTTTTGTTTTTTTACAATACTTTGTACTTATAAAATATTACACAAACAGCACTTTAAACTGAAGACTTTGCATTTTATTTTACTTTTAAAAATCGCATCATCTTTAAAACTAGTTGGAAGTGACTAAGCCATTCACATGAGTTCTTATAATCATTACTTCTACTTACATTAATTAGCACTGAACACTTTTATTACAGAAGAATCCAAGCAATCACATAGAATTGGTGTCTGCATTTTTCTGTTGTTTTTTTTTTTTTTTTCTGAAGGCCTTTTATCTCCATATCTCTTGGCAGGCAGGGTCTGTCAGTGTTCCCCTGCCTAGATTTCGTTCTTGCTTGTTTCCTTGACACCCATTTAAAATTCCCTTAGAAAACTAAGGTGCCTTAGAAATTCAGGGTGTTTGGACACTGCTAAATGTCATTTCACCTGGATTGTCTGAGTTACAGATACACATACTGGATTTGAAGACCACTTGCTATGTATTGCAATCTTTATCTGCTACCCTTGGGAATTAGGGTTCAGTGTAACACAAAAGAGATTTACAATTTATTAGTAAATATCCATTGGGAAAAAAATACTAGTAACTGCACTTTTAAATGTTTTATTTCTGATTTCAATTATTTTTCTTAAATTCTACCTCTAAAATTTAGGTTTCCGTGTTTTCGTCTGATGGGAAGAACAGATTGACTTTAGGTGATTGTGCTTGTCTTATTCATTTTTATCACAGCGTGTGTGGAGCCATCAAGAGGCTTTTCTGGTGCCCAGAGACACTGAATGTCTTCCCAGACACTCAAAGCTGTGTTAGCTTTTGGGGTCACTTTGAATGCACGGAAGCAGGGACACTGGGTGCCACTTCAGCTTCAATGTACTTTCCCAGAGAAGCCAATCATTCACCTGGGAAATGGGTTAATTCTAAAAGGTGGTGATTGAATCCGAAGGCTGGGCCAGGATGCTCATTGCCAAGGGGGTAACAGGAACTTGGAAGTTTTTCTTTACTCCTTTCAATGAAAATACTAGACTAAGTTATAGGAAATCAGTGCTTTGAATTGCCAAAAT